TTGATCCTGGCGAACAGGCGCATAACGTTCAACAAGATGCAGGAAGAGACAGGGCTTGCGTAAGGAACATTGCAGGCGAGTGTGCATGGTGATTTGGAGATGACAAATGTGTGTGGAAACTGGCTGGACCTCGGACATCGAACCAAGACCTCGGACGTCTTGCTTGGCAAGATGAAAGACGCAGTCAGGGGCTAACATGTTGAATCTTCTGCCGAATTGCATGCAATTGTTCATAGGTGGTGCACCAACACCCCCTAAGATTCGTTTACCTTCGGGACCTCCCAGCCAGATCACAGAAGTGTACCACATTTAGTGGGTACAAATGCAAAAATAGACATCGAGAGAACAGTGAGCCTGACAAAGAGAGTGCTCATACAAATGCCAGGATTAGGAGCACTGCGGTCGAGAAGACGAAATCTTTTCGTGTGCAAATTTCCAGTGCGTATGGAGAAAATAGAAGCAGTGGTCAAGAAGAAAGAACATTCTCCAATGCAAGTTTCCTATGCGTATGGGGAAAATAAAAGCAGCGAGCAAGTATTCATTAGTAAGCATTTCAGAATTCGGGGTACTAAATTTCATTCGGAAACAACGTGTCAGATTACACGAACGAGGAATATGCGGATATGCATCTGATTTGCGGTCGAGCAGGTGGCAATAGAAGCCTAGCATAGAGAATGTACCAAAAGCAGTATCTAAGGAGGCGTTGTACACATTATTAACATCTTCACAAACATCGATTGACGTCTGAGGATCCTTCCAAATAACGAGGCGTAATACAGGGCAAGAACGCAGTGTGCTCGCACCTGAAGCAGAAAACCGAGTATTGCAACGGTTTGCCATTTCCGACGATAATTTTCAGCTGAACTAGATATTCATCATAAAATGGTGTGAAAGGTTCTACGTGCAGACAACATGCACCCCTTTCACGTGCAGAAGTTCCAATTCCTAGGCTATTCTGACTACTCTCTTCTGGTAGAGTTCGTACACTAGAAGCTTGATGCCACAAAGAATGATTCTTGCCGCTGTTTTATTCTCAGATGAAGCTTGCTTTACGAGAGAAGGCGTGTACAGCGTGGTTCATATATATATATAACATACACGCGTATGTGGTTCCAGATAAAAATATCCACAGCACTACCTCGTCGGCAGTGCAACACAAGCTCGGTATTAATATCTAGACAGGGATTCTCGGAAATCATCTTTTGGAACCGTACCTTCTTCCCGAATGCCTCAATGACATAAATTACCTTGTTTTCCTACAACATGTCCTCCCGGATTTTTATGCAGGGAATACTGGCCACTGTACGCCAAAACATGTGGTTCATGCATGATGGTGTACCAGTACATTTTCCGATTGCGGTGCGTAACCACCCCGGTGCTACATATCCTGGGAAGTGGATTTGACGTGACGGATATCTTGCTGCACGCTTCCCAGACCTCAGTCCCTTGGATTTCTTCTCCGTCACCTAAAATCGATTGTTTATCAGCCGCCTGGGATTCCTGGAGGATCTGACAGCACCGACTGTCATCGCTTCAATAGACATTGCCGGCACACTAGGAATGTACCCCAAGCTGCACCGTAAAATCTTTAGGAAAAGTATATGTTACATGATTGAAAAAAAAAAAAAAGTTACTCCATTATTATGTGCATAAACAGTTGTAAAGAATATGACTGCCGCAATATCTTTAAGTATTAGACTGTAAATTTAATCTTGGGAGGATAAACATCCATTCTTACGAGAGCTCCTCGAGTATACGGAAGGAAGCTAACGTGCTGCAACTCTGCATCTCAAAATATCTTAGAAATATCCTTATGTGTGCTTCTGGTTTAAGATTCACTGGAATAATATATTTTCTTCAATGTATCATCCACCAGAAACGCAAGATTGAGCTGGATATCATTGGGTGGATATTATTGTCTGTTGCAAGAAGCTGTGGTTTTGTAAGAAGCCTACATGAATATGCAGAATCTTGTTATAGAACCTATGTTATAACTATGGAGAGCATCGGCATGAACTCTTGAAGTTTTATTATTATTCAATAAAAATTTTCTTATTCTAGGTTCTTTCCAGATAAAAATACCATAAGAAACTGTAACTGAATCTCACATTTTTTTTGGGGGGGGGAGAACAGCTTTTAAGCTTCTTCATTGGTGACTTAAGCGATATCATCTAAGGCAGGGGATCTCATCGGGGGGAATCCCCTTCCCAAGAATGGAATTATTCAACCTCAAATTATGAGAATCAAACTGTAATAAAAAGCTCAAAAAATAACTAGGGCGTGATTGAAATCTCGTATCCAAAATGATTGAAAAAATTAAATTTAGGTGGCATGTATGCACGGCGAATTCAAAAATATAATAAACCTGAATTTAAATTTAAACAAATTTAAATTTAATTTTTAACAAATACGTATAAAAGTTATTTAGAGAGCGAGTTTAAAATAAACCTGAATTTAGTTTAAATAAACCTGAATTTTATGTGTAACTTTATAACTAAAAAATTCTCTTTTAACTTTGACATATTATTTGAATTGCAGCAATTAAAGAAAACTTCCAGAAAATGATACTTTGCCACGAGATTGTTTTGGTTTGGTTTATTTGACTGTGTCAGAGGCTCTCTGCCTAAGTGTAGGGATTGCTTCATGGAGGACTTTCTAAGGGAAACTAATTCGTATACAGGTTATACATGGGAAAAACCACGAAAACGCCCATGCAGCCAGCTCCGATCGCCGGGAGCCGGAGAAACTACCAGTGTTCAACGACTGTACCCCTCGGCCGCTAATGGGCCTTGGAAGGAAGAATGCAGTAAATGAATGTTGACAACTGCTGATCTTGGGCTCCCTCCTGGAAGAGAAAAAGAAAGTTGCAAAACGCTTTACGTACACGTTTCCTATATTGGTCACCTTGAATATCAGGGTTGAGTATTAATCAGTAACAATATATTTAATTACAATGTAATTGCAGCTACAATTGCACTGTAATTAATGTAGATGTAACGTGAAATTAGTCAATTAAAGTGCAATAATAATTATAAATCGTGCAATCAAAACATAACTGTAGTTATAAATTACGCAATTATAAGGTAATTGTAATTCCAATTAAATTTCATCATTCATAATTACAGTTACATTACACTTATAATCACAGTCGTAATTATATTGTAAGTGTATTAACTATAATTAAAATATAATCATAATTCAATTTTAAGTAATCCCGGTTTATTACACTTTGAGAGAGACGCATTACTTTTAATTATCATATAAAATACTGTTCTCCGAAAATACAATTTATGAACACGATCTAAAATTTAAGCAATCTGTTATTGATTGAACAAAGCTGAGAATTATTACACTATGTACATAAATAATTAAAACTATATAGTTAATATGCAGCTGTAATAACGGTTATAATACAGTGGCAAATAGAATTACAATATGACTGCAACAGCCATTAAATTTTGGCTAAAAATGGCCGAGTAGATAAAACCTTTTGTTGAACAGAGGTAGTTTGATTCGGCCGAAATTAGTTCCTGTAAATATATTTCGCTTTAACTATGTATCTTTAACTTATTTACTGAAAATATGTGTAGTATTTAGCAAAGGACTAGTACAAAATTTATGTCACTACTACGAGTTGTAATACATGCAGAAGTTAAGCAAGATGATTCTAGATTGGTGGGAGGGAACTATTTATAGTTACCATATAGCATTTATATCTGTTAAAATATAACAGTGTAGATTTCCAATTTTGATATATGTATTTTAAACAATGTTGCTTCATCTTACTGAAGGTTAGCAGCCTCCTTAAAACACAATTTTCGGAATTAAACTTCCTACATATGGGTTCCCTCTTTGATACTTCTACTAAATTTATATTAGGAGATAATATAATCATATTTTAGTAAATAAATTTATTTCTTCTTAAGCCGTTGCGCAAGTATGAAAACTTTTTTCGAACTAAGTGATTTTAGACATTCTATATTATATATATATATACATTTAACTAACAGAAGGGAAATTAAAAGATATTTTTTGCCTTTACTGGATTGTATTTACTTAAGGTAAATAACAGGGAAACTCGAATATTGCTAATCGTTGAATTGATAAATTAATGCATTATAATAATTAGTATTATGTAAGCCTTATTTTTTAAATATTCTGAATTCATTGTAAAAATGCATGTTAAATTTGTTAATTTATAATAATGTTAACATTTTAGCCTCCGTATCATAAATGCATTAATAAGTCATTATTAAATATTCAATTATGTCAGCTTTTGGCAAGTTCAATGGATCTAATTACGTATTAACATATTATGAATTATACTGCACTTTAATTGTACATATCACCTATTCAAAACTTACTACATTGATTTTGATAATAAATATTAAAAAAAACGCTGCTATTCACTTAATTTATAAATAAATTAAATTAAATAATCAATTTTATGTTGTCATATCATTTCAATGCAATATCTCCAGTATTAATAATGCATATTAACATAAAAAATCGGTACAAAGTACACAAATGTCGATTACCGACATTCTGATTTTTTTTTTTACTTCAATGTATTTCCTTCAATTCCTCGTAATCCTATTTCTCCCTCATCAAGCAAAACACAGTGGGTGTTCGAAGATATCGAAAGCAAGTCCCAGCCGAAACTCTTTGAGTATTTGTGCAGAAACTGAAATTTATCTTTAAGCTACTTGTAATTCATTTTCATGTGAATAGCAATGGGGCTCCTTTGTTTAGTTTCATTTGTTCCCCTATCAGCCACTTTTGGAACTAATTTCTTTTTCTGCATAAATCTTTTGTTTGTACTGTAATTAGTATTCACAGTAACCCTGGTTCTTAAACTAAGTCTGGTGCAATCTTAACTGTTAAATAAAACCACGAGATGCTTCCAGTAGAGAAACTTATTTTGTCGTCCCTCTGTATGCTGAAGATATTAAATCTGTCTGTATATCTGAGTTATTAATTTTATTCGCATTTCTTTGCAGGTAATCAGAGATGTGGCCGATAACCGTCGATGTGGTGTTCTTGATCAAGATTTAGGCAAACAAGTCGCTATGTCAGCTGGATTTTTGATGCCCGTGAGCATTGTTGATGCTCATCAGCTGTCATCAGTAATCCGAAACAGGATTGAGAATGTAAGCATAGCTTTTCATTCAATTGCAATTAGTCATCAAATTATTACACTACGTTATTAATGCTCTGCAAACTGATTGATAACGGATTATGTTTACTCTAATTCCTCTGATTGTACCATTTCTTAGATTTTAAAATGTGTATACCTTATAGTAAGGGCATATTATGCATATTTATTCTGTACTGATACTTACACAAAGTACATTTTCAGGTACTGATCATCGACAGTCGTTCATTCATCGAGCACAATGCTTGTCATATATCTTCAGCTGTCAATGTGTGCTGCTCCAAAATTGTAAAGAGGCGGTTGCAGCAAGATAAAGTAAGAAAGGCCATATAATTATTATTTTTTTTTTCTTCTCATTTGTATATTATCTGAAGCAGGTTTTTTCCACTGACCTTTGTGATGCATATGTTGAATGTATGTGTGAATACTTCTGTACCTCAAAAACTAGTTATTTCAGTAAATATCAGCTGGAATCAATGTGTCCGATACTTATTCTGTACTTACAGTATTATTAATGCTTCTAGTTAATCTTGTAGTACATAATTTAATGAAAAGTATTAAGTGTGAATTGTTTAAATTATATGCTTAAGTACTCTTGTTCTATAATATAGTTAACTAATTATTTATTATTATAGTTGTCAGTTAAAGAACTGCTGATGCATACTTGTCATTATGATGTGGATGAAAAAATGGATGTGGTTGTTTATGATCAGTCATCAAGAAATGCAGAAAATTTACCCATTGATAGTTTCACCGTCATTCTCTTGAAGAAATTACAGCTAACTTTTCGGAGTGTCAACTTGTTAACAGGTTTTGTATCAGATGATTAGTATGACTAAATTTCCAAAGTGTTATATTATGAAAGATTATCATAAATTTTGCATTTTAATGTGATATTTATTAGTTAAGTAAACCTATTTATGAATGCAAAATAATGATAATATTTCTTGCTTTAATAATATTAATCCAAAAACTTGCAAAAAATGTTCCATGAAATTAAAAGAAATAGTATTAATACTTTTGGGAAAAATTTATATAGCTTATAGTAAGTGAGTACCTTATAGTACTGAATTGTGAAAATACTTTAACTCTGGAATTTCTGTTAAAATATAATACAGTTATCATATCTATTTTGATTTTTTAAAATTAAGGCATAAACTTTGTGAACCCTTTGTTCTCATGTCCTTAAGTATTTATTTACTGTAAAATTAAATTTTCAATATTCTTTACTAGGTGGTTTTGAAGAGTTTCAAAAGCACTATCCTGATCTTTGTGAGGACAAAACAAGAAAATGCCCACCTCTTACATCCCTTTCCCAACCATGCTTGCCTATATCAAATCAAGGACCAACTCGAATATTACCTTTCTTATATTTAGGCTCTCAGTTTGATGCAATGAACAGAGAACTTTTAAAAGTAAGTTTCATTTCTAAAAAAATGTTTGTCTAGAAATGGTAAACATTTTTGATATAGTGTTTATTTATTGTTTACGATATCTGATGAGATGAAATTCAGAGCTAAGTGAATGTAACTGTATTGAAAATTTTTGTATTGATAAACATTTCTATGAAAAATGAAGAGCTTTTCTTTATTATAGTATGCTACATTTTATATTTCAGGCCAATAGATATGTGTCTTGTTTAATCTGCTGTCTCAACACATATATTGTAATTTCTATTTTTATTTGTAATTTTTAACATTTATTATCATTATATATACATGCACATACTTATATGTATGTACGTAAATCTGTGTTACATACATTTATATGTAGTATATATCATAGATATACTTACATTAAAGTAAAAGAGCAGTATCTGTTTTCACAGAAACTTGAATGTAAGCATTTTAAATATTTTAAGTTAAAAGAGAAATTTTTCCTAATGCTTTCATCATGTGATAGAATATAAATACATACTAGATGCTAGTTTCAACATGTAAAATCCCATGAAGAGGTTAATAACATCTTTGGGTATAAAAATCAATGTAAAGTTATAAACAAAAACTGCTTGCTGTTTTTTTTAATAATATTAAGAGTATAATAAGATAGTTTTGGGAGAATTATCTTATTCTTATTATTAGTAATTCTTGGAGGCTGAAGATAATTCTTAGAGAAAAATTTTATTCACAGAGAGCTTTAATTTAATGGTATGTAAGTTTGATGATAAATCTTGTGTATTTTAAGTTAAATACTTTTCGTAATCATGAATAAATGTTTATTTCACTAGAAACTTACAGAATAGTTTTTTCTGCATGTTTTAAAATGCCTGATGGATGTTTATTTTTGGTCAGAATTTACTAATATATCTTCAGCTTAGAATTTTCTATTTCAAAGACTTAAATCCAGCCTTTATCACTACTAGTTTCCTGACAGATCATCATTTTTGTGAAATAGCAGATCAGACGATATATACTTAAATTAGCATATCTGAAGTGGAAACTATATTATTATTATTATGTTTAGCATATTCATTTATGGTATTTTCCACCCCATTTTAATTACATAACTATAATTTTCATTCTTTCACTTTCATTTTAAAAGCAGTGCTTTAATTGCAACTCTGTGAGCTTGAAAGTATGTTATAATCATTTGACAAACAGCATTTGAATAACATTTTCCATCATAAAGCATGAATGAAAAACATATTTAAAATAAATGTTTGTTATTCACATACATCCTTAAAGATTTTTTTTTGGGCCATCAAGTTGAATTTATTTATATTTTTATATCAGTTAATTAGTTATGGAATTAGATTTAGCTGTTATAATATATACGTTGTACTGAATGAGTATTATGGATATTTTAATCATCCATTACATAATAATATGCAGTTTACTTTCTTATAAACTGTAGGGAAAAGGGAATAGCTGTCTTGAAACATAACATAAATTTAAAAAATGCGAGTGCGAATTGAAACTGTGTAATTACTGATGTAGGCAAAAATGAAAGTAACAGCACTACATTACACAGCAAACAATTTTATACTATTAACATAGAAAGAGCTGCATTTTAGAAAGTGCGTGTATAAAATATGTATTATTTTTTATTGTGTTTATTATAAATATGTAATAATCTTTATGATATTACAATAACCTTACCTTTTTGTCCACAATGCTTTAAAAACTTTTCTGTTACCTTTCAGGATCATAATATAACTTATGAATTAAATGTGAGTACTACCTGTCCTCAGCCAGAATTTGTTCCAGAAGGCCATTTTATGCGAATTCCTGTTAATGATACGTATAGTGAGAAACTTCTTCCTTACTTCCCAGAAGCATTTAATTTTCTAGGTAACTCTTCTATTACTTAAAACATTTTTTTCTAGTGAATAATAATTTATACATTTAAAATAAGTACTTGCAGCATTTCAAACATGTCATACACCTGTATATTTCTCTGAGTATTTGAACGCTGGGACATGTAAGAATCATAAAAGTATATATGCAGCCTTCCAGTTGTATTCTTATTTAATATATTTGAGGTATTACAAAACATCTTATTAAAATATACTTATAAAAGTCACAAATAACTTGGAAATGTCCAATGGTAAATGAAAATTTTATTGTGTTAGTGTTGTCCCAAACTTACTATGACCATAAATCCCCATGTGAAATAAATCTATATAATGCATAATTAAAAAAATTACAACTTTAACTTTTATATCTTTAATAGAAAATGGTGACATAAAAGTAAAGTATAAGTGAAACGTTTTTATGCTTAAAATAGTATTTATTGAAATTATACCTTTTTTTAAAATACCAAAAACACATTATTATTTTTTTCTCAACGAGATGGGTGAACCTGATGGGATGATACAAGATTATTTATGTTTGGCTTTACGTTTCAAAGTAACATTCATAAGTTTCCATGAGCAATAATTGCCAGTTGGGTTTTTCTTTCGTGATGAGGTTCATAACTATACTAAATCCACATTCTATTAGATAGGAAGTTATGGGAAAGCAATCAACATCTTCTCTATAGTGACCCATAGTGCAGAATATAAAATTCGTATTAGTTTTTGTAACCAGAAATTGTGGTATCGTTGTTCAAACATTGGTTTCAGCTTCTCATTTATATATAATTAATTAAACTTCTACTGTATTTGCATGGATTCATCTGAGCTTGTGGATCTACTTACAAAAGAGTCCAACGCTCAATCGGAATAACCAAGTAAAGAATGTTTTCAAATCTTTGGCTGAGGTCAAAATGAAGAACCACTAAGTGATGAATGACAAACAAGCAAATCTTCATCTCATTTATGTAATTTTGAAAGAGTTGGAATCTGAGAGCATTCTCTTGTCCTCTAATTTTGTTTATATAGAAAAAGTTTTGCAAAAATGCAGATAATATACTTTTAAAATTGATTAAATTTAATTGCAACTTGTAGTTTCAAACTGGTTTCTCTAAATTTGTCAAATAAGTTGAGCCATGCAAGTACTTACTAAGATTTTTGGTGACTAAATGTTGTTGATGAATGACATGAGGTACAGCTACTACTTTCTGTAAAACTTGTTTTAAGTATGGTGGAAAGCTCATTCCTTCCAGTGCCCGAGCATCATCAGCAGCAACAGAGAGGATCTTACACAAGGGTACAGCTTTTATATTTAGAAGACTTTTTAATTCATTAAGAATATTGTTACAGATTTTTGTATCAGTTTCCAGATATTTGACAAATAAAAATTCTTGGGAAATTTGTTTTCTTTTATAAATCTTGCATAAACTAAAAATAAAGTTTCATTTCCATGCAAAATACATCAAGCTGAATGGATTTCATATGTTTTTGAGAACACATATAAAGAATTTTCTATGCTAGGAGGAATTTTGTTAGTCTTCCTTTGTACTATATTATTACTCAGTGGAATTCTTATAACATCAAAAGCTGGTTTATGCAGCATGGCACGCATTACCATATTTTTAGCTGGTCAAATAATTTGTTAACAAATGGTGTGCAGCATTGCAATCAGTAAAGAAGTATTATAATAAGCATGCTGTCCATTGTCATCTCACTCAGATGTGATGATGTTTTCAGATAATTTCCTTTGACTGTTTTAAAAAAATTTAAATCTCTTTTATCAATATGGGCTTTTGTAAAATGTTCCTTAAGCTTCATAAATTTGTTTGACAAAGTTTTATTGAGTAAAAAGCATGTAGGTAAAGTATTACATCCTGGTATTGAAATAAAGCGATATTTTAAATATTCAACATTATGTCTTCTGTATTTTTCCTTTGATTCATTCATACTGTACTTGTTTTTTTTTTTTTTTTTTTTTTTTTAACGAGTATGTGAAAATTGCTTCAGATTTATTTGCTGATATTTATTTTGAATAATAATGAAAATGGGTCATCATTATTTTCTTTTTATATTAAACCATATGTGTATCCTGGCATTGTCTACATATCCCCAAATTAATTAAAATTTGACACAGACCCCCTCCTTAGTGGTCATAAGGACACCTAGGGGTCTGTAATAACCATTGCTTTAGATCTTTGACTGATATTCACAATCTTATGTGACAATATTTTGCTTTTGCCCATAGAAAAATAATCATCTTGCCAATTACAATGCATATTTTATCAAGAATATATTCTACTACTTTTTTATGCCTTTAGTACTTCAAATTTATAGAGTAAACATATTTAGTATGTCTTCTTAAAAGCAGTGAAAATAAATTCATTGTTTTTATTCATTATTATTCTTTCTTGAATTCTTTACTGTATGTGGATGGGGAAGGGAGATATAGATACAGTAGTTCTAATTTGAAGATTAAATCATGAGAAAGAATTTGCTGCATTTGAGATGTCATCAATATTAAATATCTACAGTCTTAAATGTTGCTATTAGGGAAAAAAGTACCAGAAGTGACTTTTCTTAGTTTGAATAAAATTTTCAAAAATTTTCTGGTCTTTCAGAAGTTTGAAAAATGTAAGATTGAATATCAGATAAATCAAGAGCATTATGAAAAAGAATAATTTAAAAAATAAAAAAAAAATTTGCTTCCTTTGTTTGTTCACAACTGATAATTAAAAATATTCATTTCATTGGCTATTTCTTCTTTTTGTATGAAACTGGACTTAGTCCTAAAGAGTCTTTCCTAGAAAATGTCTGCCTCTGGAGGTAATCCAATTTTCAATTAGCATTTAAAATAACCTTCCAGCAGAAACATTAGCAAAGAGATACAGTTGAAAAAAAAATCAGTGCAATTTTTAGAACTAAATATAATCCGCTGAAAATTTTTAGATTATTTGAGAGCAGTAAATAAAGCATGCAGTCATGCATTTTTAATTAAAACTTTTCCAAATAGGAATGAATGTGAAAGTGTATATGTGCTTATCAGAAGGCATAAATTAGATTCATATTTTTGTGTGCATGATCTTGTATTATATTATTTTATTTCAGACAAAGTTCGAGAAGGGAATGGTTGTGTCTTAGTTCATTGCTTGGCAGGAATATCAAGATCTCCTACTGTTGCAATAGCTTATGTTATGCGTTACCTAAGACTTTCATCTGATGATGGGTATAGGTAAAACTGATTTTTACTTTTTTTGCGATAAATACAAGTCATGTTAAATATTGTAATGTACTAGAAATTTATAATTTTAGACTTAAATATCGTAATGTAGTAGAAATTTATAATTTTACACAAGTAAATTTTTAAATCTGGTGAGCTATTTAGTTGCTTCTGTTTGTACTTTTGAAGATCATATTAAAAGTATATATATATATATTCTTCTAGGTATGTAAAATCAAAGCGTCCTACTATATCACCAAACTTCAATTTCCTTGGGCAACTGCTAGAATATGAAAAGCAGCTAAGAAAAGAAAATATTTTAGATGCTAAGCCTGAAGCAACATCAGCACCTCCACTTTGCAGTAAAAAGCGATTATGTAGGACTGATATGCGTGCTTCTAAGCTATCCTTAGATATTGATACATCTAAAAGTGAAAATGCCAATATTTTTCTGCAGCCACGGAATGGAGATCAGTCTCCAACTACTGCTCTTGCAAGATTAAGTTTTGATGTCAAACAAGTGGGTGGTAATAAGGAAGAAATTAGCCAACCTTCTCTTCCTGACTTTAGGCAGTATCGAAGTAAAAGTTGTTATGGTGATTGGCTTAGAGAACGTGATGATTGTGTTGTTGAAAAGAAAAGCAGAGACTGCAATGTCACAACAACTTCTAAAGTTTTGTCTCCTGTTAAGGAAATAAAATGTGATGCTTTAATATCTGAGATTTCAACAGGTGAAAGTAATATAACTCTGAATTCTCGAGGTGTGAATAGGCAAAAAATCAAATCCTCTCACTCTGGTAGTGTGGAGAACTTTACATCTTTTTCTGACATTTCCTTTAAGCATGGAATATGTTCATCAAGTTCTGAAGAGAGATTTTCAATACAAACATTATCTCATCAAACTTCTACTTCAGCATCAAAAGGTCATGAATTTCCTAGGCTTAAAGAACAACAAAAAATAAAAATGAGATCAAATCAATCTAAATTTGTTGGTTCACAAAATTTTCAGTCTGAAGTAACTGAAAAAAATAATCTTGGAGTAAATCAGTTATATTTCAACAAATTTTGTAATAAACGTTCATGCAACACATCTCTGGAAAGATTCAAAGAATTATCACCAAAAAAAGAGAAAACAGAGCCTCATTTTGTGTTCTGTGAACACACTACACCTCAGTACAAAACATCATCTACTCGCCATCCATTTACATTTAACTTAGACTCACACAGACGTTCAGATTCCGCTGCAACATCTGGATTTGGAAGTGAAAGTTCAGACTGTACTGATAACTTCACTGAACATGGAAAGAAACCGGAGAATTTGAAACTGGAGATAGATATTAATGATTTAGAGGATGATGTAATTTTAAGAGGAAAAGGAACACGATCGCAAAGTTCCGTAGATAATTTGGGAGCTGACAGAAGATTTTCGCCTTTAGAACTTCCAGATGTTGCTGTAAGCGAATGGCGAGAAAGTTTAGTAAGTCCTCTCAGCCCCTCAGAAAGTCATTTGCTGGAGGATTTGGAAATGGAAAGAGATATAATCACTACCAAAACAGGTAACTATATCATTATCACAGAATTATGTGCCAGTTGTTTTTTAAGCATGATATACAAATAAAATGTAAATTTGTTAAAAAATTCATATTGGAAAATTTTGCATAATTGAGTTCTTGTTTAACCCATTAAATGTCTATTAGAAAAAAGTATTTGTCTCCAGTTATTTACATGGTAGAGAAATGTGAAATAATGTATAAGAAAGTAATGACATGTCAGCTACTTTTGTGGGAGAAATAATCAATCTTTATGTACACTGGAATGCCGCCATCTTTTAAACATGAGTCTAAAAAAGAAAAAACTATTTGTGTGCTTCATCATTTTAAAAAATAATAAATTATGTGGTTAAGAATACAAGTTATTTTTTGAAGTGAAACATTGACATGTAATTAAACCACAAGAAAGTTGGTTTGCAGAGATGGGTATGTACACACGTGCAAAAATATTCATGTACAACAGAATTACTTTTGACAGATATACTGTACTACTTGATAAACAATGTGCTTATTAAAAGAAAACAATAAAATATAACTTACAAATACAGCGTTTTTAGTATTCAGAAGCAAATGAACAAATAAAATATTCTTTACTTAAGTAAACTTCTGATTATCTTTCACATTCTTCCGCAAATTATCAAACTTTCCAACATCAGTGATTTTGTCCTTAATCTATTTTTGTTAAACTGTGCAGAATTGTGAAATGATACTAATAAAAATATTTTCACAATACTGTGGTAACTTTTTGTTTTATATGAAATATACTACTATTACAAATGAATTGAATGTAAGATGTAGCATAGCTTTATGTTTTTAGACTGCTACGGTAATTGCATTCACTTTTTTTCTGTTTAACTTCTTGAAAGATTGTACTAAAAAAACTGCTGTATTATTGTTTATTTTGATCGTAGATGATTTGAAATCTGCATTATTCTGGATATATAATTGATTATAATGTCCAAAATTTAACTAAGTTTGCTTGAAAGTGCAAACTGAACAATCTAAAACAGGTCAAGTAATACTGTGCAAGAAATTCAAATTCAAGCATTTTTTAAATCATAAATAAGGTTAAAAGATAATATTTTATGAAGGAAAATAATTTCTGATTACAATTTTTCTATTTCTGAAAAAAGTTAGAATTCATTTTAGTGATTTTTTTTTTTTTTTTTTTTTTTTTTTTTGAGGATTTGTGGGTGGAATCAATTTGCTTCAATTGTAATTTTTGCTTGACTAAAAACTAAATTCTTTGCAGGAATTATTTATACATTTCTTGCATCTTACAAATAAACTGTTTGTTTATAGTATTGAAATTTTAAATTAAAGAGAATTATTAAAAATGAGAAAAACTTTCCTGTGCCAAAATTTAATCCCACCCTTAAAATTATAGTTTTTACAGTAGAAAAATAATGAGTTTGGTCCTGTTTCTATTAGTTTAATGTTTCTGTAGTTATTCTATTTTGCTTTTGTTTATCCTCAGCAGGAATTAGTAATGAATGTCAAAAATATAACAGCTTTTATTAAAAAAATATCTGAATATCATTGGCTTAGATATATTTAGGACTTTAATTTATCTGCATGTAATTGATTAGATGATGCTGACAGAACTTACAAACCTAAAAATACATTACCAATAAAAATATATATATGTGTGTATAGAAACCTTTCCATATTGGGATTCAATGTGTTACTAATCAAGGTAGTGTTAGGCTGAATCAGGAAATTTTATTAAAAAAAGTCCACATATTGTTTTGAATGTGAATATTCATAATATATATATTTAATAATTTAATGTTGTATTATAGAAAATTTCATGTAAAATACAGTTTATTTGGCAGAAATATATTAGGATTCATTATGAGTTTGGAAATTTTCTTATGTTAACTTCACTGCTTGAAATATTCCTTATGAAGTAATACAGCCTGGCTAACAAATTTTAACAATTGAGGGAAATCGTCCAGTCTGTACTTCATAAATATTTTCTATCACTTTTATATTTTTATTTAGTTCAAGGTTTCTCAAACTTCTTAACCTCGCAATGCGTATGCATATAGTTTCAATTTATTGTGACCCACCCGTGCATAGTTGTAAGTTATTGCAGCCCCATACATAAAGTTGATCTGGAGGAAAGCAGAAAAAAATGGAAATTGCTAAAAGAAAATAAGGTGATCGTGAAATAATACATAAATATATATAATTATCAATTGATAATTAGAAATTCATAATTACACAATAAGGAAAAGAGAACAGGTTTTTATGACCCACCAAAAATTCTGTGTTGAACCACTGAGGAGATGAAAACATTTTCTACACTTTGAGAAACTGTGATTTAGTTTATTATATCTTTCACTCATTCCTCTTCTCACATGTTACCTTAGACAATTGACTAAGCACAGCTGTGTGAATCAATTTTTAAACTTTTCAGGAAACCAGCTGTAGAAAAACTTTGCCTGCACCGCCTGTACAGTACACAAGGCATTGCCGAGTATGCATTAAGAGAATGAACTATTGCCTGCCCCCCAATAGAACCTTGGGTTGCCATCCAAGTTTAGCAGGAGAAATTGCAAAAATAGTTATGAAGGGTGTGACGTTGAGTGGAACAAAAAGGGCCAATTATAAGCAAAAAAGAAAAAAATGAAGAAAAGGAGAGGAGACATTTCTATAGGCATTGCTCTAAGTTGTGGTCATGAACATCAATCGTATAGCTGACACCAATGGACAAAGGATTACTGGACGCATCGAAACATACCCAATGTGCCGGCGATGTCTGCTGAAGAGATGATAATCTGTTCTGCGAGATCCTCCAGTGTATCCACAGGCGTCTGATAAACAATCAATTTCAGGTGACCCTAGAATAAGAAATCCAAGAGATTGAGGCTTGGGGAGCATGAAGCCGAAGCAACATATCTACCACGTCTAGTCCACCTTCTCAGGATGTGTAGCATCGAGATGATTATGCACCATATTCCTAAAGTATGCTGGTGCACCATCATGCATGAACCACATGTTCTTGCACACAGTTGCTAGTATTCCTTGCATCAAATCCGGGAGAACGTGCTATAGGAAAAGAAATTTGTGCCATTGAGGCAGTATAGTCCCAACAGATGATCTCCAAGAAACCCTGCATAGATAATAGTACTAAACCTGTTCTGCACTTTTGACAAGACAGTTGCTGTGGGGATTTTCAGACGACCACATATGCACATTATATGTATCAACCACGCCTTCCCTTATAAAGCAGGCTTCATCTGAGAATAAAACAGTGCAAGAAAACTATGAATTCTTCTGTGTGCCATCAAACATCCAGTGTACAAACTCTATCTGAAAGGGGTAATTGGCATCGCCTAGGAGTTGGAGCTTTTGCATCTGGAAAGAATAAAATTTTTTTGGCATACAGAGCCTTCCTCATTATTTTGTGCTGAGTACCCAGTTTATTTGCAATCGATTGTGTGTGGGGATACAGCAAATCATTTCAATGCTTGTTTTCTGTTTCAGATATGTGCATACTATGTTGTTGTTTTGTATTTTAGTATTTAGAAGGACCCTGCCTCTTCCAGCCACCGATCAATGTTCGCGAAGGTAGTATTGTGTGAAACGCCTTCTCAGATATTGCTCTTGGTACATTCTCTGTGCAAGACGGCCACTGTCAGCTGCTTGGCTGTAAATCTGATGCATATCCACATATTTCTCATTCATGTAATCGGACGTATTGTTTCCAAATGAAGTTTAACTCCCACAAATTCTGCAGTGCCTATTAACCAATACTTGCTCCTTGCTTTCATTTTTCTCGATACACGTGGGAAATTTGTATACAAGGTTTTTTTTTCTTCTCGATCGCAATGCTCCTAAAATCCTTGCATTTGTTTGGCCACTCTCTTTGTCAAGCTCACTGTCCTCTTGATGTCTATTTTTGTGATTTTCACCAACTAAACATAGTTTGCGACCCCATATTTTATGGTAATTTTTCATCCTCTTGATGCCTACTATCACTCCTCTGAATCTGTCTGTCAAATTTGGCAACATCCTGTTAATAGCTCATATTGAGCATAAGTGTTATGTTTCAGTAAGCTAAGATGGGAGTAAGAAGGTTGTTGAGATTAAATGAGCAATGCTATTTACAGAAGGCAGCATGCTTCTTTTATTTCAGATTGGTGATTTAACATAAAATTATCTGGCAGATCAAGTTAGTTCCTTTCTTGTACTGCAAACTCTTAACGATATTTACAACAATAATTAAGTTAGGCCAAGTTGCTGAATTTTGACTTTTTAAGCTTTATTTGTTATAATTGTTGTTTGTTTGATTTTAAGCTTTATTTGTTATTTAAAAGTAATGTGCATAATATGCACATTACTTTGAACTAACAAATAATTAACTTCTCAAAAAAAGTCTATTATTTTCCTCCATTTTATCCCCACACATAGTGTGATAACTTGAGAGATCTTACAAGTGAAATTAAACTGTATGTGTATATATAAAATGAGTTGATTTTCTCATATCAGAGGCCAATTCCTTAAATGGTAATTTTGCAGTCCTATTTTTTATTTTGTTTTGCTGGATAATTTTCAGTTAAAAGACATCATCTTCAGAATATTTTTCTGCTGTACAAATTAGCAATGGGCTGTGAAATAAGCACTTATTTCTTATAATTCCTTTAATAGACACTAAAAGAAAGCAATAAAAAATTCACATAAATTAATACATTTGATTTTAGAAGAAAGCGAGCATAAGCTTTATTTCCTTAAATATTTATCGTAGACATTATACACCACATTCACAAAAGTCCTTATCCAGCCATTATTTTTACAATTATTGAACACAGACATATACTTCCAATAAGAAAAATGCTTTAATGATGATGATATTCATGTCTGGGCATTTTTAAATTAAAAAAAAACTCAATTTTGTCTTTTAATATATTCCCACTGTCTCTCTCTCTATACTTATACAGTCAAAAGTCGTTAATCCGGACTCGTCGGGACTTCGGCGATTCCGGATTATCGATTTTTCCGGATTATAGATCATCAGTTTAAATCTCGTAAGATGGCATGCAGAAATTCTAAAATTAAAAATATGAAACCGTAATTTATGAAATAAAGAACAATTATGATCTAAAGGGTATCAAAATTTGCAAAAAGAAAAAGCTTAATATTTATTTGTTTACTTTATTAAACATTTCTTTCAATGTAAGTTGTTTAAGTTTTGCTTCGTTTCATGTGATAATACTTTCTCTTTAATTCCATTAAACAGACATAATTTCTTGTTCAGTTACAAAGTTACGCTGTTCAAGTCCTATAATTGCTGTGTCGAGAACACCGACTAATTTGTCAATCGAAATTTTTTCGTTTTCAATAACCTCTGTTACTTTCTTCGCTATCGAAAGCGAATTATAATGACGAGGAACTTGTTTTTAAATCATATCAAAGACGGAGCATATCGAGATGAAAATACTACATTTAGTAAGGAATTATAAGCCAAATAAAATAAAACATCTGCGCCTGAAGATAAGGATAGTGCTGACAGATCAACTTCCAATTCATTACGCGCCCGCCACGCGGCGATCCCCCCCCGCCGAACAGCGTGAAATTGATAAACAGATTTCGGATTTCAAAACATACTTTCGCTTTAGATCCTTTACATATTAACAAATATATATCGGAAATTCTATTTGACATAATCGAAAGTTCAAGCTTACTTTTATAAAATTGCTCTTAACAGTCTGCAAAAAATAATAAGCCGGATCCAATTCGAAAATTAAGGAACAACGCAATAACTGCAACATAGATAATTAGATAATTTTAGCTTATATGTCCATTATAATAAAACGCGCACGCGAAAACGTATTCTGCACTTGCGCACACTCATATGCGCAGTCGTAAAGGGTCTTACGCGCACGCGTAAACGCCTATGCGCATGTGTCAACGCGGCGCATGCGCAGAAAGTTTTTAGTTTTGAGGTCCGGATTATAGATCATTCCGAATTATGGGTGTCCGAATTAACGACTTTTGACTGTATTCAGGAAAATTTTATAATTATAAGAAATAAAATACAAAATGTGTGACTCATGTGCATCAAAAATTGACCCAAGATAGTTTAAAGGATTTCTAATGTTAACAGATTTAAACAAAAAACATTCCTTTGCAGTGAAAAGTATAATTTCTATAATTGTTTTGGACCAGGACACCATATAACTGTTTTCAGAAAGAAATCATATGGAATTTGTGTTCTAAGAAACTTTGGCACATTGCAAAATCATAACATTATTTGCATTAAGAAATGAAAAACATTTTCAGTTTAGTAATTTTTTATATCATTATGATTCTAAAGTAATAAATTTTCATGAGGATACTAATAACGTATTTTTAGCATTTGAAAACATAAATTATTTGAGTGAAAATTCTTTTGGCTTATTGTTTATAACAATGTTATAAATTAAAAAATGTTACACATTAGTAAATTACAAAAGATTATCAATGAATGGTATTTAAGAGCAAAAAAAAATTAACTTCAAATTATTCTAATTTATCTATTAACCGACTCCTCAAGGCAAGCTAAAAATGATGGAAAACATCGAAAATTTAGAAATAAATATCTTAGTCAGTTTTTATTGGAGTCAAATTTAATTGTGTCTTAATTTTTATAATGAGTTTAAAATTTTCCAATATATTTACTAGATTAATACTTGTATTTTAAATTAATACAAGGACCAGGAGACCATATAAAATGTTAAATTTCATTATTTTAATAAAATTGATTTTTTTAAATTTAAAAAACCAAAAAATGGGTGATTTAAAACATTTTTACAATTAGAAATCTAGGTCTACAAAAGTAGAGGCAGGTTCAGACTTTTAATGGATATGGTGTATATTTAAAGACCTTCAAAATAATTTTGAAGCTTTCATGAAACCAGTTTCAGCGGTAAATGTAGATTGCATTTGTAAATACAGAATTATGAGCAACAAATATTTTCTCAGGGTCAGTTATCAAGTTAATAACAGTTATTGATTTACCCCTATTTACTGGCAAAAGAAGCCACTTTTGTTTTATGGTTGTTGATTTAAGTTTAGGACTATTTTAAGGATATATTTGATTTCAGTCAAATGTAGTCAATATGCATTCATATGTGATCTAATTTGCCAATTTTGCATCATCAGTGTGCTAAGTGGTGAAGACTGCTGAACACTGGTTTTAGCTGCTTGATTGGTTTTCATTTTCCATGTGTGTAATGTGAATATGAACCAATGCCTCGCTTTTCCCTTAGGCAGTTAGCCTTCATGTGCTTTGCCATATTCTGCTAACGTAAGTTAACAAATGTATTCTGTAATATCTCCTAGAATTTTTTATGGAACATTTTAAGGCATTATGTATATTTCATTAGCTGGAATTTTTGCTATACATAAAATGTTAACTTTTGTATTTTCAAAATTGTTCGATCCCTCAGTGCTGAAAAGTATTCTCATAAAATTCTTTAACTTAGGAAAACATTCTAGTTGGAAATACCTGCCTAGGACCAATAAAACTTATAGCTCTCTTTTTCAAATATCTTGCTATTATGATATTAAAGCCATAATGCTTAATTCAGAGTCTATAAACAGAGATTTAAAAGGATGATACTGTAAAACTTTATGTGCAATTTTAAAATTATCAAATCTGAAATGTAACTTAGATATATTTTGCCTTTATTTATATTATATATTTTTTATTTATTTATAACAGAACCTTCCAGTCCAAGTGGTTCTAGTTACCCATCTGAGGATCCTGACACTTTTCATGACTCAGGTATACCACTATCTCCTACATGGCTGTGGCCTCGGAAAAGAGTAGCCAGTTTTGACACAACATGCTTAAGTGGTACAGCTAGTTCACCTTCAAAAGACAAGCGGAAATATGAACCATTTAATGAGTCTGTGCTTTCTAAAAAAGAGAGGGAACAATGGTTTTTTGAATCTAATTCATGCATTAATGCAGGAAAGGACACCTGTGAAATGTCTACTAGATATTGCTCTTCATTAAGTGATAAAATAGGATTATATAGAGTGCAATCATGTCCTGGTATTTTGTGTCACATGCCTTCATTCTGGACAGCCGATGGCCAGTCAAAAAGATTAGCTGGAAAGAGTTCATGTTTTGCATCTGTATATACAGAAGCAGAACAGAAAGAAGTAATGTGTCATGAGTCGTGTCCAGATGTTTTGCATTTAGGTGATATTGATAGCTCTTTGAAAATGTTATCCTGCCGTCAGCGGGAATGTCGTCGAAATGTGAGAATGATACAGGTCTCCTGATTATTTTTATGTTCTTTACCCTATTTCATTCCGTTTATCATAATGCATATCAAAAAGAGATCTTTTACAGAATTGTTCTGAAATAAATATATAATTCAGTAGTGAGAAATATTTAGAATTTTTACATTTTCTACTAAAAATAAAAGCTTTCTTCATGTTTTTAATATAGTGTTATCTAAGGAAAGAGCAGATGTGTCTGATTTGAAGTTGCTTATTTATTTACTAAAATCTTCAAGAATATTAACACAAATTTTACAGTAAGAAACTTAAACCTCAAATTATGCTCTGTTAGCTGTTTATATAAATTATCAAAATTTAAAATTAACTAAATACACATATTTTGTCATAAAATAAATCAATTATAAAAATTATTTCTTTTACTAAAATTAAGAAAGTAAAATAATTATGCAGTCAAGCTTATGAAATATTAGAATGTGTAAAATAATAATTACATTTCAGCATGTTATAATTCAGTTTCAGAATTTTTTAAATATAATGTCATTCATTAAAATTTTTTTTAAAATATTACTAGATTCCAATGAATTTATTTAATACATGAAAGGTTAGCTTGAAGGGGCTTACAAGCCTAACATGGGTTCTTCAAATTTTAAAACTATAAATTTGCTTTGTACTATTTAAGGTTGTTTCAAGGCACTGTCTTTAGGCTGACTTATTGCTATTGAAAATTAAGTTAGTTTATAAGTTTATGTACATTTAAGGTTCAATATGAAAGAATTGAGATTCACATGTAAAAGGTATAATTACTGGTTAAATTTTGTTTAATTCACAGATTGAAAAGCTAACTCAATATTTATAGCTCTAATTTTAGTAGTTAAATAACAATGCACTGTTTTTAGTTAAGATTCTAGTACTAATTGGGATGACAAAAGGCAGCTTAAGCACTGCATTACATATTTATGACATATCCATTACATATTTGTAATAGATCACTATCACATATAGAATATATGAATTTAATCTATACTTTTAAATAAAAATTATCTAAATACATTTCCTTTTCTGCCGGTAATAGTTTAGCCATCATTTATACAAGTTAATGTCGATTCCTACTAGCATTGACTTTATAATATGAAAGAAAACTTCACATTAAAAGATGTATAGCATTACATCATAATCCTACATTATAGCCATAATCTTATAAAACTTTTAAGAGAATTAAATATCTCTCACAAAGCTGTGGAAGGTTCAAATGTAACTCGATTCTTTTTACGGTGTGGTGTGGTGTGGTGTGGTGTATTTAATTATGGCAAAGCACACTAGGGCTATCTGCCTAAGGGGAGGGATGCCTTTCGTGGAGGACTTTCTAAGGAAAACTGGCTCGTATACACGTTACACATGGGGAAAACCACGAAAACGCCCATGCAGCCAGCCCGTTCGCGGGATTCGAACCTCAGACCGAACTACCAGTGTTCAGCGTCTTTACCGCTCGGCCGCTGGTGGGCCGATTCTTTTTACATAAGTTTATTTAAATTGAAAACAGATTTTAAAAATATAACAAAATTTGAGATAGAAGCAATATTTAAAAAGGGAAAGATTTGTGATATTACAATATATGAAAATCTTTAAATTACAAAATATAACGTTAGATACAAATTTTAATTTATTTTATGTTGTACTGCAGAAGTGTTCATTATGATGAATATGGTTACTTGTAACATTTAATTACTTTAGTATTCATTACTTAATTTAATAAAAATTAAAAGAAAAAGGTAATGCAATTAATTTATGGCATATGCATTGACATTTACAGTTGATATGGAAGAGTCACTAACAAGCCTGCAAGTTATCTTCAGTCTAAATGTCAAAATATATAATAATGAAAGATTATATCATTTTATACTTCAAATATATATATTTATCCATTATTCTTTTGCACATTGTTTTACAGGAAAATTTAAATTAAGAAAGTGGGAATAAACAATGTGTGAATCTTTACATCTGTTATTTTTTAGAAAAATTGGAATTTAATGCGAATGTGAAATTTATTTATATGAAAAAGCATTTCCAAATAACAGATATTAACTTAAAATTAGAACTTACCTTTCCCCTTCATCTTACACATGCGTATAGGGAGAGAAGGCTGGGAATATTGAAAGGAAACCACATTTGTGTTTATTCACAGAAATGGAGCTTTAAAAAAGTTGAGGTATGTTTTTTCTGTTAACAGAGTTGTAGCTAGGGTTTTCAGCGCCCAGGGACAACTGAAGATTTCGTGCCCCCTACTGCTTGTCAAGGATGGAAAACATTTAATTCTAAGATGTCGTAACATCAGTTTGGCGCCCCTTGGATTCTGCGCCCGGGGACAGATCCCCCCTTGCCCCCCTCTAGCTACGCCCCTGTCTGTTAAGAGTTTTTTATTTTATTATTAAACTTATTTTTATCTCCTTATCCAGTGTATATAGTTCCTACTGTTGTTTTCTGAAAGAAATGTGAGTTTGAGATAGAAGTTTTCATCAATTCAGAAATGCAAGTTTCCCATATTTTCTGATGGGACTAGTCAATTGAACATCTTCGATGTTGTCTTGTTCTGTACATAATAAATAAAATTATTAAAATTCATTTAACTTGTCTTGTCACCATTTATTTTTATACTGTTAAAATTTTATTTATATTATTCTTATACTAACAGAAAAAGCTTTTATAGCCATGATTTCTGATTTTATACAATGTACACAGATCTTACAAATAGCTTTGTTGAAACACAGGAAGCACATAAATGAATGAACAGTGCAACACAGGAAAGACATAAGTACAAAATATATCATTTAATATGTATGATATGTACATGAAAATTATACAGAGAAGAAATGAATTTCTAAACAGTTTTGGCATCAAATGCAAATATAATAACTTATGACAATTTTCAGCATATTTTTACAGCATGATTAGCTTTTAAAACACGACATATAAAAATAATGTTCAGTAAGCATATGATAAAAAATAAATATTAGGGTAATGCAATGGAAGACATCAGTGTTACCTTTTAATATATCACAGGTTAGAAAATGTAACAAGAATGAGAGTACTTTGATGTGGTACCAGATTTTAATACATGTAAATGTTTTTCTTTTCCCCTCAGTGAATGTTGCAAAAATCTAAGGGAAGTATTAGTTGCTTCAGCTAATTTAAATCTGATGAAGAAATGATTAACACAAACTAGTGTTTTAGATTGAATGTTAAATAGAAAACAATTCCTACTGCTTCTAAACTTTTTTAAAAAGTTTCTTTTTATAGTAAAATAAACATACAGAATAAAAGCCACCTTTCGGTAACTAATAGTATAATACTATGAATTTTAAAGTTATTCATTATGTCAAATAAAATTCTTATCTATAAAAAGTGTTCTATAAAAATTTCACAGAAATTACTTGACATACACTTCCAGAAGTGTATGAATAAATTTACAAAAGAGTAAATTCCCTTCTTTCTAAGTCTCGTTTCTGTCAAATGCCTGATTCTGCTATTCCTTCATCATCTGAAAAATAATACAGCATGTAAACAACTGCAATTATTTTTTTACAAAACTATACAGAAACTTAACTGCTAAGCAAAATACAGTTTACTGAATTGGTTAGGACTTTAGAAAACAGAATAGGATACCTGCACCAGTAAAAGAGAAATATCAGTAGTATTAGTTGCATTAAAATTATATAATTGACCTTTTTCCTGCTGTTATAAATCTTTGGAATTGTTGTAATTACAGTATATAGTTTTAAATCATATTAGCAGATAAGCTATAACATTATTGTACTATGAGCAAGCATGTAGGCATATCAAAACTTCCACAAAATGGTCATTTGATGCTGCTGTCTAAAATAAACATAAATATCAAATGTCTAAAATATATAAAATCAGAATAAGTCAAAACACCAAAGTATGTAGATTTTTCAGATATTATGGCCTCAAATAATGCTTTTTTGGGGGAGGAGGTAAGAGATTAATTACAATCATACTGTGCAAAGAACAGAATTTCATAGAACCTCATGGCCAACTTGCTGCCAACAAATATGGTGAATGTGATGAACAGACTTTTAAAAAATGACTCACAAAAAACTAAAATTCATCTAACATTTCTTTTAGTTTATTATAAGCCAAATATTGATAGTAGCTGCTGAATACATGTCTCATTTTTTCTTGGAAGAGTAATATAAACAACAAAACTTGATCATTTAGGGGAAGGAAAAAGGATCATCCTTGTTATATATTTGAATGCTTTTCCTCCAGGAGATGAGATATTTATACCAAATTTTGGATTGGCTAATTTTCCCTTTCAGCCAAAAATTTTTCAGATCATTTTATAATGAGGGGGAAAAACTGAAGTTTTATTTGAATAGAAATACTGCCATTCGTGTCAAATATGTGAATTTATTTGTTCTGAAATTATTAAATTTTTTTATTGCTGTCTTACTTAAAGGACAAAATGTATGGCATACATAATTTCTAATTTGGTAACCTATTTATAATAAATTGGATTAATTTTAAATGCTCATTATTTATTGCTTTATTTATTAGTTCATTTATTTAATTTTTTTCCAACATCATTGACAGGCTTCCATAAGGCTCCAGCATTTCAACATTTAGAAATTAAGTTCTGGAAAGACGAAAATCAATAATTTTTGGGTCTGCCACTTGAAGGGGCAGGGTCTGATTATGCTCTAGAAAAGCTAAAAAATTCATCTGCATGAAGCAATTTTTCAGGCAAAAGTTTAGCAATTTAAATTTTAATCTGCACTTGCCCTAGCTCGAGTGAAATGTTCTATAGAGGCAAATTTTTGTGTGTAGTGATTACAGTTGTGAGTTTTAACTGTTACAGAATTTCAAACATACAATTGTCAAAAGATGCATAAAATAAATACCAATGTCTACTATAGTTATCAGAAGTAAATCATGCCCACAATAAATATTATGTAAAACATTGAAATATATCTAATAATATATATATATATACATATGTGTGTGTATGTTGACAGAGGGACTGTTGAAGAAAAAAATTATACTCTTTTAATGCTGAATAATAAACAAAATAACGATACAGTTATGAAAGAGTCTAACGAAATATGTTGTATTAACTGCGCAGAAGTTACATAAGCAAATTACATTATCAAAGGCAAGAAAAAAGTGCTACTAATCAGTAGCTATGCGAGACGATAAAGGGACTTGGTAATGATTTAAACTATTATTAAGATATAGTGAGAAATTCATTTAGATGTCAATATATTAACTCAAGTTCTAAACTAGTTCAATGAGATTTGAATAAGTCTCACCTGCCAGTTATCAAACATTTTGTTTATTATAAATGACTTTTATTTTTGTTGTAGGAATTTGGAATTCATAATGGAAAGAATGAGATAAAAAATATTTTGAATACACTGACCTTCATAGCCTTGATTTTCGTGAACTTCTTGCCTTAAAGGATCCATAATATCTTCATTTCCCTCCAAAACACACATTAAACATTGATGGATACATATGTATTGTTGCTGAAAGCATATTTTTCCCATTAACAGAATATTTTAACAGCTATAACCACTAAATATTAAATTAAATTATTCTTTGCTGTAACCTATATCTCCTGTATTTCTTTTTTTTAATGCAAGAAGATACAGATACTGCAGAATATTAACTTAAATTTTATTGAAAATATAAAATATGTGATATTATCAAAATAATATAATGTTGAAATAACATTTTTGATAACACAAAATCCAAGAAAAGCTGTAAATATTAACAGTAATGTCCCGATATCCATGGGGCAGTATGTTCCAAGATTTATCATGAATGCATGACACTGTGAATGCTGTATAAAACAAGGATATTCATTTAACATGCAGAATTATTTAAAATTAGGCAAAAGTAATTTGGCATATACATTGAATAAAACTTGATTGATTTTGAGGGTAATCAGACACAGGTTTCTCTTAAAATTCAGAAGGAATTTTTCTTCTTTTCTTTCCTCCCTCCTTGAGGAGATGGACCTGTGTCTTATTGCCTTTGAAATGATATTTTTATTCAAAATCTAAGCTTAAGCAAAACCAAAAAAGTTTGTTTTTTTCCCTGAATTAAAATTTTACATTAGTATGTTTTTTTTCCATTTGATACATAATTTTATTTAATATATGAATTATGCTAAGATGTTATCGACATTATTTAATGTTTTAGTTTATTTAAACTATTCTATGACTGCACTGCAGTGTATAATGTACTGTTAAATACAATAATGTAAAATATATCACATATTATAGTACATTCTGTTGTGCATTTATGAGTCAGTGATTCTCGCATTTTAACTTAATTCACAAAATATGAGTGAGAAATTAAAATGCATTTCATATATATAGTATAACATACTATTTCAAAGGATAGTACAGGTTTCCAAAGGATTTCAAGCATTTGTAGCACTGCAACTGTAATGTCATGGTGATATTTTTGTAGTAAATAACTTAAACAGTAGGAAAGTTGGAAGAACATATTACTAATAAGAACAGAATAAATGCTAGAGTGGGAACAAATTTAAAATAAGAAGTATGAGTGCTGTAAAGTCATTAGGACTTTTGAAGTAAGAGACACGAAAAATGAACAATGCCCTCGCTGGGACTTGAACCTGGACTTCTCAAATATGCGCCAAGTGTGCCATCATTACACGACGAAGTCATGCAGAAAGGAGGGAGAAAATACCTTATAAGTTAACTACTCTTTGTGGTAGAAAGAAACCAACAGACACTCATCTCAGGATGAAAGCAAAGTGCTGGGATGCCTGTGTATTGATTTTATAAGTTTTTAACTGAACCATTGCAAGGGAGAAATTTACTGGCTATGGGATCTACACATTCAGTGCAATGAAAGAAATAATGCATAAGTAGCTGGGTTTTGCATTCAGTTAGTGCAAATACTTTTCTTGAGGAATCTATACTATAATATGCAGGGTATGCAATAACATGTATTGAATGTGAAGGGGGACTATATGAAAAAATAATGATGTGTTTTCAGTTCTGTTAGGCATACGATTTTAGTAAATATAGATATAAAGATTATTTTTATATGCTTATATAAGGATAAAGTATCTGTAATAAATTTACAAGTAGTGGTACACAAATGACACAGTCTGATCCCATCATATATTATAAATGGCAGTGGAAAATAACCCATCAGATATGATAAGTAGTTTGGATAATGTGCATCATGATAGGCAGACTGCCTGAAGGAAAACAAAGAGAACATTTTCAAATGAGGGGAAAAGTACTCTTAGTCTTAAATCTTCTAATACAGATAATGTAATGGAAGCTCATGAAGCACAGGAATTATCAATTATTATTTATTATATATTCTTATTTATATTAGGTGATTTTAAAGGAACATCTTTGACATAAATGTTGCTATGAATATTAATGTTCAGATCAAAATGTATTACAATTTTACTGCAAAATTTATTTCAGATTGAATAAATGACAACCAACAAACAAGGAAAGCAACTGTTCCATAGGTAGCAATTTTTTTTTTTTTTTTTCCATTTAGAACCTTACTACAGATTTTGAGTAGTGTCTCATTTTAGCATAGCTGAATGTTTAGTTTGCGTCTTCCATACACTATTGGCAAGGCAGCATGAGATTGGAAGTTAGGCCTGAATTATATTAATTTGGTTATTTATTACAACTATGTCTACTGGCCGCATATGCATTCAGGCATATCAGAGAGTCAAATACATGTACTCCCACATACAGTGGTGGCCAAAATTGTGGACACTTTTGGAAATTTGTATGTTTTTGAATTTTGTATGCTTATAGAAAATGTTACGTTTCACAAAATGCAAACTTGCATGTATCATTTTAAAGAGAATTTATTACTGAATTCAATACAAAACACAAAATTCAATTATTTGCAATACAAAAAAAGTTAAACGATAATAGTTATCGATATACATTAGATAGTGATGATTGCAGTGAGTTATCAGTACTTAGTATGGTACCCTTTATTTTTGATTACAGCTTCACATTGACGTTTCATTGAACTGACAAGAGTTTTAAGCTCTTCTTTCATTATTACATGATGCCAGGAAACAATTATAGCCTCAATTAGTTCCCTTTTATTTGATGGGCGCCTCATTCGGACAAGAGTTTTCAAACGGTGCCACAAATTTTCAATAGGATTGAGGTCAGGACTGTTTCCTGGCCATGACAACAATTTAATGCTCTTTGTACAAAACCACCTTTCGATATTTTGGCCGTGTGGCAAGGAGGAGAATCCTGCTGAAAAATAAACGAAGCATTGTCGGGAAAGAGAACTCTGATGGAAGGTAGAAGTTTTGGTTCTAGAATAGTGCCAATGTATTTTCTGGCATTCAGTGTCCCATCGATGACATGAAGGCGACGAATACCATCTGCTGACATGCATGACCAAATCATAACACTAACTGGGTTCTTCACAGTTGCTTGAATGCAGTCAAGATGTAGCTCTTCTCCTATTCTACGTCTTACATATTTTCGCCCATCACTACAAATAATGATATCTTAGTTTCATCACTCCATATAACTTGTGACCACAGATCATCTGTCCAATTAATGTGTTCCTTTTCCCACTGTAGTCTTTTTTTCGTTGCTGAAAATTAAGATAAGGCCTTTTTTCATGGAATTCTACCTCTCAGTCCAACATCTGTTAATCTTCTCCTGATTGTTCTTGAACTGACAGAAACACCAGCATCAGTCAGATCACTTCTGATGGCCGCTGATGACATTTTTCTATCTTGGAGACATAGTCGTTTAATTTTTCTGTCATCAATAGATGTGGTGCACCTTTTTCGGCCTTTTCCATCTTTGTTTTTTATTGAATTTGTCTCCTGATATCGTAAATAAAACTTTCGGACTCCAGATGTAGTCACTGAACCACCCACCTGTCTTGCAATTTCAGCATAGGAAAGACCACTTTCTCATAACACAATAATATTGCATCTCTTTCTAGGCGTCCAATTTACTCTTTTATTTGATACCATTGCTTCTTGACTAAATATTAAAAATTTTTACAAAAATTCCTACTTGTAATTGCAGTGTATAAGAAACAAGTCCTCCTTCTACAGAACAAAGCAAAATAATGAATTGTTTCAAGTGTAAACATGATGTTAGCTTCTACTGGTAGTTACTAACATTTGATTGGTTCTCAGAACAAGAACAGTGATTGGCCAGGAAAGGTAGTCATTACAAACCACTTCATAACTGTGTTTTTTATTTATATTAAAGTACATATAACTTTTTTTGTATTGCAAATAATTGAATTTTGTGTTTTGTATTGAATTCAGTAATAAATTCTCTTTAAAACGATATATACAAGTTTGCATTTTGCGAAATGTAACATTTTCTATAAGCATACAAAGTTCAAAAACATAAAAATTTCCAAAAGTGTCCACAATTTTGCCCACCACTGTATACCACTTAAGGCTTATCTAAAATTCAAACAGCATTAAATGGAATCCTTTGTGCTATGAATATCATTTATAAAATCTATATTTTGAATATGGAAAAAAAAATTTGTTAAATTTTTTGTTGTTAATGCACTCAATACTTTGCAGTGCATTTGGCTGAAGTCTGTAATCATCATTAAGGGAAATGTCAACATAAAAGTTTACTATGCTGTTTGATATTCAATTACTAGCATTTTAAAAAATGTTTTAAGACATTGCGAGTCATTTCTAAAGTTGCTATGAATTGATAGTTTATAGTCATTAGTTGATAGTTGATTGGCATTGGGATATGAATTATTCAGTAGGTGTAAAATTAGAAATGAACTTTTGTATATGATGACACTTTGGTTTGAGATGTACGCGATGCAAAACGGAGATACAGAGCCAACAAATTATTGATAGTATAGATTTAAGCTAATTAATTATAGTGTTACTTCAACAAGGAGATGTTTTACTTAGTGTCAAACAGATATTAAGAATCAGGGAATGTAATAATTAAAAAATTACAATAATGTAAAAAATCTAACTGAAAAAAACAAATTCCCAGGGCTGTCCAAAATATATTGGTTTGTAAGTCTTCAGATAACATCTGGAACACATTTTCTTCAAAACTTGTAAATTCTTAAAACAATGAACATATTTTACTGTTGAAGAATATTATTCAGGCATGTAATAACAGGAAATTTATAATTTTTTAAGACGGTAGACAAGAAGCTAATGCATGTGTGGAAATGATTTGATTTTGAGAACGGGCATATTTACGGAAACAATTTTGATCAGCAGAGACAAAGGATAAAAGTAAATGTATGCACAGGGAAACTGTACCTATAAGTTTGATTGAACGTTTTGCAAATGAACACATCACAGTCTGGCAGAAAACAAATACATAAATAAAATGAAAAATATATAATAAATAAAAATATCATAGTTTGGCCACTGTTAACCAACTACATTGGAATTCTTTTGAAATATGGAATTCCATTCAATTTACAACCTATCATTATGTATATCAACTGCAGAATGAGTTAATAATAATAATAATAATGTGGATATAAAATAATGACAATAAAAGTAAAGTTCAAAAAATTAAAAAGAACTGGTATCTTAATAAAATCAAAAATTACATATTTGAACAAACGAATATTTCTCACCTCATTCTGTACCATCCATACTCTTTCCTTCCTCATTTCATATACAATCGCAAATATATCAACATAGTCATGCTTTTGAATTTTCTGCAGAATATGATCCAAAGCAATAAATGTACCAGACCTTCCAACACCAGCACTAAATGAATAAAATTTTTATAAAAAAATTTATTTTGTGGCATCATTAAAATTAACCCTTATTTACTAATTCAGAAGTCAAACAACAAAAATCAGCATTATATTTTCAAATTTTTACAGGACTAGTTTCGATGGTTTTACCGAACCACCATCCTCAGCTCCAAAAGTGCAAATGAACGAGATAGGATATAATGATTCGATAAGATAAGAAAGCCTGGACAGAAAATAAGCTAGTTGTGCCATCTGTTGATGAAACCAGAAATAAAACATAATTTCTTTAAAGGCCGAAGGCAAAGATGGGTTGGAATTATTAGGATCGTTAACTAGAACAGAAAGATTTTTTTGAATGTGAAATGCCTCTAGAAAATCCAGTTCTCCAATGGAAGATGTTTTTGAATAAGTTTGGTAGCAGAAAAATTGAAAGTGTGATTTTCGGACCAACAATGTTGGGCAACAGAAGACTTCTGTGTTTCCTTTTTTCTAACATATGCCTCATGTTCCTTGACGTAAAATTTTAAGGCTCTCTTAGTTTAGCCAATGTAAATTAAACCACACTGGCAAGGAATCCTATAAATACCCCAGGAATTCATATCCGGAATGGGGTCCTTGAGCAGACTGCCATTGACACCACATCATAGACGCCAACGTCCGCAATGGTGCTGAGCTCAAGTGATGTGGACGACGGAATGGCACTGGTTCATGTTCTTAGATAAGTCACGCTTCTGGTTTCTCCAATGATAGTCGCCGCGTACGAGTGTAGCGTTGACGTGGAGACAGATCCAATGCTCAACCGCGCTACAATGCGGCATCATGGTTTGGGGCGCAACTGCGTACGATTCCAGGTTACCTCTAGTTCGTACTCAGGACATTGTGGTGGCCAAATGATATGCGGATGATGTGCTGCGGCTGGTGACACTCCCTTACCTTCAGGGAGTGCCCAGTGCCCTTTATCAGCAGGATATAATGTCTGACCACAAACTGCTCGCATCAGCCAACGTGTTCTGAAAGGTGTACAGATGCTTCCCTGGCCACAATTTTCTCCTCATCTCTCACCAACTGAACACATTTGGATGTGACTGGATGCCATTTGCAGACCCTGCCATTGCTATGTCAGAAGACAAACTGTGGCAAATTGTTGACAGGGAATGAAGAGCCATTCCTCAGGACACCATCCATAATCTCATTGGCTCTGCACCTAAATGTGCTTCATGTATCGCCGTCCAAGGTGGTCCTACAACCTTATTCAGTCGACACTGTTCTCGCTCAATATTAAGCATATCATTTTGAAATAAAGACCACTTATTGTTCATTGCTTTCTCTCTCTGTTTGCCAAGTTTCATCACTTTCTGGCCACTCCTCCTTGGTGTTGCATTTTCAGTGTCGGGTAGTGTATATTGAGATTAAATAAAATAATAATAAAAAATATATTTTCTTAATGTTTTATTTTCAAATTTAAAAAATGAAGTTTTTTAAAAATTATGAAATCCATGTTTTTCATTTGGTTCTTTAATTCTGCACTCATATTTAAAAAAGTTTATACACATTCTATGAAATAAAGTACAAAAGGTTTGAATCCAGTACCACAAAAATTGACCAAGGTATTTAATTTAAAAATTTTCAATTTTTATAGATTTCACAGCACCAGAAAATCCAACTTATCGCTCTCCTTAAAGAATTAGAAAATAAATTAGGATAATTCGACAACACCTAAATTTTCAGAAAGCTATGATCGGAAAATTAAATACCTTAGTGCATTTTTGTCATATGGGAATCGAACACCTTTTATTTTTTAGAATGCATATAAACTTTTAGTAAACATAACCATAGGGATGGCAGGAATGCATAATGAGACAGATATTTTTTAAATTTAAGAATGGCAAGCTATGAATATTTGCGTAATTTAAAGAACTTTTGTAACTGGAAATACAACTGTGACCAATGGTATGGAAAAGAAAGGCCAGATAAAGACTTTTGTGGAACTGGTGTATAATGCATAATTGAACTGGCAAATTGATACATTATGATAAACTATTCTAATAGTACTCTAGTAATCAATCGTAAAAAAAATCTACTAGTACTTTTATGTCTATTTCAGTATAGCGGAGCCATTATTCTTGATAATTACTTTTATTCAAACAATACATGGCAATCTGTGATAATCAATATGCATTAAAGCAGAGTTTGATGTAATTATATTTATGTTAGTGCTAAAATCTGCTACTTGCACCAAGTTAAATTTTAAGTGAAGTTTAATAGTAATACTTCGACATTTGGAATTGCATGCAACGATTATTAGATTGCAACTATGTCAAAAATTCTGAATTGCAGTTGTGTTAATTACAGTTAAATATTATATTACACTACAGTTGTTACCTTATTTGGCATAAAATTTTGCTATACAGTTTATATACATAACCTAGACTATAAGATCAACTTCTAGATAATAAACAGAAATTTGCATAATATTTAATAAATAAGAGTAATTAAGTACAGCTAAAACTCATAAATATATGCAAGTAAATATGTCACTCAGGAAGGTTATAGTAATAATCATGTATTATTTCTTAAATGTAAGTCGTATGATTTTAAATGATATTGAGTTAGATACAAATAGAATTAGCTCTATTTAGACGAAAACTTACATTACTTAAAGATTAAAATAAAGTTCATGGAAGAATTTGTATTCTATGTATATGTTACGACCAAAGCCCGAAGTTCGGCCAGTTCCCGAATTGGCCAGCCATTTCGCACATTGGCCGGGGCGTGTGGCCAATGCCCGATGTACTGGAAATGAATAGCATATATGCCGGCGACTTCTCAAAGTGCCCGGAACTCCCTGGCCAATGTTTGATGTGCTATATTTTCAGTGTATCTGGCATCCATGTATCGAATCATGAATCTGGCAATGCGTGATTGTTTACAGGCCCGCCAACTGAATAGTTTCGATTGCGGGTTAGTGTGCTTTCCCCGGATAGGTAAGCCCTTTCAATATTCGTTTGTTTTTTTTGTTATACTATGGATCAAACTCAGTTTCAAGAATTTGTACATGCTTTCCAAGCACAGCAACTGCAATTTTTTGAATAATTTCTCCTAACTCAAACTTCTAATGGTACTGAGTGGTGTTCACTGCCATTAGAAGGTGCCTCAGGGCCATTAGTGGTGCTCAGTGCCAAAGTACTGTTCAACCGTCTATAAATCCAGTTTTACTTCAATCATTTGAAAATTTTGATTCTAAAAAAAAGTCATTTAAATATAAGAGATTTGAAAATTTTCTTGATATAAAAGCAATTAAAAGCAAACAAAGAATCTTGTGCTCAGATGCTTCTTAATGCTTTAAGAACATCATATTTAAAAAATTACCGAAATTTTAAATTTATTAATTGAACTTAACTAATATTTTAACACATCAAATGATTTTTTTAAAAATAAAATTGGAGTGCTGATCTTACTTTGTTTATTCACAAAATATGCAAAAAAAAATATTTTCTGCTATAATAGATGTGTTATGTCGCGTAATTTTTTTTAATTAACAAGTAAAATTTAATTGTTCAGGAAAATTTTCTGTGAAAAAGAATAGATATCTAAATTCAAAATGTGTATTTTCTAAAGTAATTAATAACTAATTAAATATTTTGTGCTGAAAAAATAATTTCTCTATCTTTAAATATATGCCTCAAATATTCATGGGAAGGACCATTGTTCCCATTTGGGAACATCCTACAGTCAAAAGTCGTTAATCCGGACACCCATAATCCAGAATGATCTATAATCCGGACCTCAAAGCTACAAACATTCTGCGCATGCGTCAACGTATAACGCGTTCACGCATGCACATTACGTTTACGCATACACACAATACGTTTACGCATGCGCGTTTAATGTATAGCGAACGGTATAAGCTAAGCTAAAATTATCTAATTATCTATTTCAGTTAATGTTGCAGATGGCGTTGTTCCTTAATCTTGGAATTGGATCCGGCTTATTATTATTTGCAGACTGTTAGAGCTTGAACTTTCGATTATGTCAAATAGAATTTCCGATTCTGGAGCTGCCAAAAGATCTATCTACAAAGCGAAAGCACGTTTCGATGTCCATCAAACAAAAAGTGGAATTGCTGCAAAAAAATGGATAAAGACATATCCTTTGTTTTTCTAACCATTCCGAAATCTGTTTATCAATTTCACGCTGCTCTGTGTGTGTGTGGGGGGGGGGGACATAGTGGCGCGCTATGAACTGGAAGTTGATCTGTTAGCACTATCCTTATCTTCAGGGCAGATGTTTTTATTTCATTCGGCTTATAATTCCTTACTAAATGTACTATTTCATCTCAATGTACTCCGTCTTTGATATGATTTAAATCAAATTCCTCGTCATTATAAATATCACGAATACACATCGAATAGTTTTCTTTTTGCTTCTAATTTTGACTATGCTTTATGCATGCGTGCGTTGAAAGAAATGTTTAACAAATAAATATTAAGCCTTTTTTTTTTTTTTTTTTTTGTAAATTTCGATACTTTTGAGATCATATTATCTCATTAGATAGATTATATCATCTTTATTTCATAAATTACGGTTTCATATTTTTAATTTTATAATTTCTGCATTCTATCTTACCAGATTTAAATTGATTATCTATAATCCGGAATCGCCGAAGTCCCGACGAGTCCAGATTAAAGACTTTTGACTGTATAAATCTATTAATTTTTTTTTTCTTAACCCTCTGGCTGCTCATCCCGCGATTTCCACGGGCAACTCAAGTGTAGCAAAATCTGCTCATCCCGCGATTTCCGCGGGTATGTGTTTTTCTTCCTTTATTGAGGAGCGAATCCCGTTTTTTTTCCCGTTTAACCATTGAAATAAATTATATACAGTATTTGACGTATAGTTTAATTTTTGGCCAACATATATCGTTAGTTGTCCACTAAATTGCGGGATTTGAAGGTACGTGGTATAACAGCTCAAACTTCACTTTTTGCCGCATTTTTCTTACAGAAATGGCTGCTAGAAAACGTTCAGCGATTATCTTGATTATTTAATAAAATTGTTGAATATTAATTCGATTTATTGATTAGATTTATAATTAAATTGATTATTAATTAGATTTATTGAATCTGGCGCGAAGACTGTGAAGTTGGACTTACCTTGAACCCTGTTTTGAACTCTATCGTACTAAACTGCATTTCTAAGGTATTTTTTCCTCAGTGCTTCATATTTTCTTAAAGTTTATACATTTTACTTTTTTATATTATGTAATAAATAGAAATTAACTGTAATTCGATTGAAATTTATTAAAAAAAAATTTTTTTTTTTTGCTAATAGCATCTGAAATTGGTTTTTCTGGCAACTTAGTTTCTCATGATAAAAATCTACATAAAAGTGTTTTCTAGAAAGAAAAAGTGCATTTTTCAACTTTCCAATATATATAGATTTAAAATATGAAAAAAAATACACATTTTTTTAAGCGATTTCGGTCTACAAATTGAGCAGTCAGAGGGTTAATACTGTTTAATGAGCTACTTTCATGCAATATATAAAGAAATCCTTTGTTTACACCTGAAAAAAGTTTTGGTAGTTAAAGTGTTGATTGAATAGGTGCTTCTTATTTATGTTAGATTCTTTAGTTTCACCTAAAACTTATACATGTACATTAACTGCTAAACCATGAAAGGGATCGCCGCATGATTTGAGAGTATCGCATTGTTTTTCTATAGGTTTTCTTCCCCATGGCTTCTCCTGACAAAACTAGTATAAGTATGCTGGGCGAAGATGATGCACATGCAAATGCGGAACCAACTTTGGATACGAGAACCATATTCTTAAGTAAATTGTATATATTGCTGCAGGAAAAAGCAGATAATAGCTGGATTCTCAGCAAAGACAAGTACCATACTTTCACAGAGAACGTTAAAAAGGCTAGCAAAGCGGAAAAAAAAAGTGTTGATTATCGTCAACTAAGAAAATATGATGTTATTGAGGTTGACGGAAAAGAAAAACTTTTTCTGCCAGTAACAGAAGACAATAGCGTTGTTTTCTACTATGTGCATACAGAAGAGTTATTCGACTTGCTACATGATACTCAATTGAAAATTAGACATGGAGGTCGCACATGGATGGAGAAGGAGCTGCAAACTAAGTACAAAAATGTCACCAAGGAAATCATTACATTGTATCTCCGCTTATGCAAACTGTGTCAGACCAAATTATCTAATCCTAAGATAGGTCTAGTTTCTAAACCTTTGTTATTTAAAGAATTTATCTCAAGACACCAGTAGATCTTATTGACATGCAAAGTAACTCAAACGGCAAATTCAAGTTTATACTCAATTACCAGGATCATTTAACAAAGTTCATATTGCGAGCTCTGAAAAGCAAAAGAGCAGAAGAAGTTGCTTACCAGCTACTGGATGTCTTTCACCACTATAGGTGCTCCACGTGTGCTTCAATCAGATAATGGAAGAGAATTTGCAAATCAAGTTATTAATGAACTCAAGAACATGTAGCCTGAATTGAAACTAGTTCATGGTAAACCAAGGCATAGCCAAAGCCAAGGTTCAGTAGAACGTGCCAACTAAGATGTTCAGAATACGATGATGACACGACATGGATGCAGACAAATAAAGCTATACATTGGGCCGAGAGTCTCAGATTCAATCAATTCATGAAAAAACCCTTCTTTTCATCAAGGAATTCAGCAGTCTCCTTATGAGGCTATGTTTCGCTGCAAAGTAAAAGTGGGACTGAGCACCTCAAATCTGCCCATAGAGGTTATTGGTGACTTAGTTAACAGATAAATATCTCAAGAACGTCGAAGAAGAAAGGATGATTCTGTAAATACAGCGACTTTCTCTGCAAACGAACCAGCTGCAGTGGCGACGGAGACATCAGAAAGCCCAGATCAGCTGTCTGACAATAAAAATTCGAACAAATTCTGTGTAGTATGTCAACAAGAGTGTAATTCAGCCCATTCTTGTGGATCCTGCGGAAAGGTTGTGCAACGCAATTTGTGGAATAAGTATAAAAGCAGATGAAGGAGGAAAAATTACCCGTAGACTGTGTGATAAACAAGAAATCACGAATAAGAGGTCAGCTGCCCATGCTAGCTTACAAATTCAAGGTGTCAAGATGCTAAAAAATTCAGATGCAAAATTTCCATCAGCAAAAGTTGGAGATAATGTAAGCATCCACATACCAGATGTTGACAGAGGTCGTGGTGATCCACGAAGCGTCCTGGCAGTTGTCATGAACATCGAGGGCACTTTCTACAAGCTAGGAACAGAACATGGTGTTCTCAAACAACTGTACTCCAGAAGTAAGTTTCCCATTTTGTAAGAGAAACTACTTACATTGTCATCCATGGGCACAGAGGAAAAATCATTACGAACTGTTGCCTCTTCACAATTGCTGACCGGCAACCAAGGCTACACTCAATGCATTGCACTACCAAGTGTTCAACAAATCGCTGCAGATGTAAAAATAACAAACTGCTGTGCAATTCGAAATGTCATAAAAGTTCATCTTGTTGTAACAAGTGATGATACTGATAATTTTCTGTAATAAACTAATTCAGTAGATAATGTGATTATCTTTTTGTTTGTTTGTTTGTTTTCTCCAAGGAAGAGGAAATTTTCATAAGGGACAAGGAGGTTTCTGGTACTGTGAGATTCTTACTCACTAAAACTTCTCCCTTCAGACTACAGTCCACTTAGGGCCACCATACCTTCTTGGCCTTTGTTCCAAAGGACGATCCTAGGCTCCTAAGAGGGGCGGATTTGTCGGAAAACTCCTTTGTGGCAGCTATAATGTGATTATCATTACGGTATACAAACACCCAATGTTTGCTCATGACCTTTTTCTTCTGACTTTGGCCGATCGCCCCATGCTATTTCGCGAACTGGCTGGCCAAACCCCAAAATCAAGAAAAGATCGGACATTGGCCAGTCATTGTGAGGCAATATTGGCTATTTCGCGATTTGGCCGGCCAATTCGGGAACTGGCCGACTTTGCGCTTTGGCCGTAACATATATAAAGCACTGGAATTATTTAAAACAGTAAATTAATGCATTTGTCAGCGTAAATTAACCTATTATTTTCTATATAATTTTTTCTAATTGACTATCTGTTTCTACCTTATTTCTTTATTGATGCAAGAAATGAGTGAAAATAGTACTTTTAAGTACAGCATTAGTTTTGGTAAGATATTTCAATTAGACTGTACTACTGAAGTGAGAATAATTCATGGCCTAAATGAACTCAAAACAAATTACTATATAATAAAGAAAAATAAAAATTGTCATACACATTATAAAAGGCAATATGTAATCAGCAGCATTTTGAAATGAAATGCCGAAAGTTCAGGTTTGTTCATAACCACCACCTCTGATCTTTTTTGTCCCGATACTTCACTGAGAATTGCTCAAAGTACGATAAACTTGCTCGAGCAGCTAAAAGTGTGCTCTCCGGTTACAACAGAAATTAACTGCTTTTTACTAACTGTTCTCTACTTGCTGTTCACAGCACTACCAAACAGCAAACTCCAGATATTCAAGACTCTGCTTGGCCTAGTACTCCAGTTGCATGCTGAAGCAATCAAGAACGGAAACTTGTCACCAGCAAAAACACGCTTAGTCCTATGACGATGGTCTAACTGCAAATAAATTTGCTATTTTGTAACTCAACCAAGAAACCAACAACTCAAATCAAGACTGCTCCATGGAGATTTCACTGTTAGAAACAAAATATAAAAAAATTTTATAGAAAAATGAAAATGTAACCAAATTGGGTTTCACAATAAATGACATCCAACAGCTTACCCGGAGCAGAATCAGACGCTACCCTCTTTTTCCTATCACCTCGCCTAAAAACGACAAGACTCACCTACAGTGTGATAAAGATGTAATGCTATCGCTGTCACAGTTTAATCATGCTCGAGAAAAAGTAACTGAGAAAAACTTGTCGTCAAGTGTGGTTTAAATCATGATCCTTGTCACTAAGAAAAGAAATGCAGAACCATAGCACACAAACTGTAAAATGGGACATACAGCCAGTTTTAGAGAGATGAAAAATTCTCATAAGTGCGGACAGATCCGGTGCACACAAATCTTATGAACACGCCCTAGCTTCGTCTCCAAATATCAACACATTAATTTTAACCGAAGTCCAGAAACTATCTGAAGACATGACTACTTTAATCAATTTGCTTTCAAAAGCTCATGAATAGAAACTTTAGTACAGCAAATTCAAAATATTCAAAACAAAAATTGCAGACTCTCTCAGAACCAGCCAATGGGCTGCCCCCCTTTTTCTTTACCAGATCCTCATGTCTACAGTTTGGGGATTTCTCAGATCCAGAATTGTCACATAATAGCTTTTGAGACACTACTTGAAATGAGCAGGATATGGAGCTTACTTGGTAATATTTGCCGGCATAAATATTTTTTTCTATGTGTTGTATGCAATCAACAGAGAGGATAATTTACTCATTGGTTTCTGTTTGCTTTTACCTTGAAAGGGAGGAAAAGCAAAGAGAAATCTATATTTATACCATAAGCTAAAAAAATGTACATGCACAAAGAAGAATTTAAGAACATGCTGAACATATGAATACACAAGTACATTACTTGCGAACTGAAAATGCTCTTCATAACATACTGCGCTCTACTAATGCATCTTTATACTTTTAATAATTAAGACCTGATAGAAAATATAAATACCTGCAATGCACCACTACAGGCTTATTGTCGGGTGGAATTCTGTCTCGAAATGTTCGAACAAATTTAACAAGTGTTTGGGGAGGATCTGGAACCCCAAAATCAGGCCAAGTTGTAAAGTGAAAATGTCGAATTATGCGTGATTGATCTCCCTGCAAAATAAATTTATTAAAAAAATGATTTCTTTTTATTAAATAAATGAGAATGTTATAATATGCTCAAATGTATACTTATAAGCTGGTACTTTAATTTTAGAAAATCTATTTTAACCATGAATTAAATTCATTATGTTATTCATTTTATTCACATTTTGAAAATAAACCCTAGAATACATAATATACAAATTAGATTGAACCTCTATCTTTCTTCTTTTTTTGTGCTTGAATTAAAACTATAAAATAATTATTATCGAAAAATGTTTTACAAATTATTACTTTGTTTTATGTTTCAGTTTCAGATGCTTAAAAAGAAGTAAAGAAATATATACACATAATTAATGTATAATTACTATTACTTTCGTTTCAGAAAAACCTTTCCATTCTAAGATTAATATTGTTACGAGGTTTGTACATTGATAGATAATTTTAGTAAAATTATTTGCAAAATGTTTGTGTATTTCTGTATAATGTATTATAAAATGCTGAGAGAAACGATGCTCTGCTGGAAAAATAAGAATACAGGGGCAAGTCTATTTAACATTGAGCAAATGGCTATCTCGCTAATTTTGCGAGATATCGCAAAGCTGGCAACAGTTTTGGCGACTAATTTTTGTTGCAAAATTTGGAAAGAAATTGCCAAAGTTGTCGACCGTTTTGGTCCAGTCCCTGTATAACTGTAATGGATATTGCAATTGAATAACTCTATTTGATGCTCTGTGTAACTGTAACCATATTCGGCCCTTATATGCCTTCCAGTAATTTTGAGAAGCACAAAGTATTAGAAATATCTCGGTGGCTGGGTGAAAACTATATAAGACCAGAGAGAGCATCAGTTCCTCAGTTGTTAGTTTAGCATGAGTTTGGAGTATTGAGATATCTCCGAGTTAGCTTCACTCTTCAGTTGCGCTTTGCATGGCATTGTGTTTAATGTTCTTAGTAGTTTGAAGTATAACTACCTATTGTACTCTGTGATACTCTGAAGAGTTGTCCAACTATTTTTGTGGAAATTTCCAGAATTGTTAAGTGTTTCTTTTGGTAAAAAAAAAATTTAATTAAGCTATCATTAATTCTGTGTGCATTCAATCTGTTATAAACTTGTATGCATGCTACAATATAATGCAGATTATGAATTTTAACAAAACAGACACAACACATATTTTTAAGCTCACAATACAAAAATTGCACTTAAAAATTTACTTGAAATTGCACTTATCTATTAGGTTATCTGAATTATATAATAAGTGAATCAAATTATGTTTTTAAATGTAATACACTCATGTTAAAATTTACCTTTCTGTACCCAAAAATAATGATATTCCATAAAATATCCAATCAATGTAAACCATTTTTGCAAGGAATGTGTGAAAGACAAGCCTAATTAGCATTATCCAGTTGAAAGTGATCAAATGATTTCCGATAGGCAAATCAGGGCATTATGTCATCTAACTGTGAGACAAACGATTTGTGCAAAGTGACTATATGAGTTAATTTCTGCAATCCAGATTTTATTTCAGTATGTAAAGACTCAAAATGGTTTTTTATGGCATCAAAGTATCATTTGGAAGAATCTGTGAAGTGACGAATCATCAACCGTATAAAAGTCGGACAAACAATCATGGAAGCAGTGAGATGTATGAATATTTGAAAACAGGCAGTTCTCTATGCTATTGAAACAATTTGAAACTTTTGCAAGGAAGCCTGGGCAAGGTCATAAATTAATAACTGCTTCTCATGATCGATAGCTGGCAATAATTCCATATTGAGAGGAAGTTTGCTGCTAAGTTAAGTTGAATGCTTGCAGCCACCATTGGAACTGTTATACCACAGTAAATTATATACAGAATACTTAATGAAAAAGGTGTTTATGCCAAAAAGCCAAGGGTATGTGTTTCACTGTCTTCAGAACAAAAGAGGAATTGCTTTAATTGGTGCAAAGAACATCAGAGCTGAATTAAACACCAGTGAACTCTCATTACTCATGAGTTGAGATTTATTTAAACATATGATTTTAAATGTGTTTATATCTGGAGAAAGTCAAAACATGAAATCTTCCTTTGAACTTGAATGTAACTGTTTTATTAAGGCAGATGTGATGATATGAGGAGGAATAGTGATTAAAGGATGTACGTCACAACATGTTTCTGAAAGCAAATATGTGACTGCCCAGAAATATAAGGATGATGTTTTAGAACCTTACATAAGAATTTTCAAAACTGCATATGGGATCTGACTTTATATTTATGGACGATAATGTTTATTCACATCAAGCATACCCTGCTGAGTTGAAGTTCCTTGAAAGTGAAGACATTGAGTGAATAATGCCAGCAAATCCAATAGAGAATTTATAAGACTATCTTGGAAAAGCAGTTGCATCACAGCATCCTCCTGCTAGAGATGTAAATGGCTTAAAAGCCATTTCTGGATAAGTGAAACTTAATTCCCAAAACTTTGGTTAACCAGCATGAAAACACATCGTGTACAAATCAGAGGAGATCACGTTCCATATTAAATTCATAAGCCTTAATTTCCTTCCAAGTTTTCTTTTTTTCTGGACTCTCCTTGTAACATATTATTAACACTTTCATTGTCTCTTGCTGCAAATTTATATCATATGCAGAGCTCTTAAATTTTTTCATTTGTAACATTTATGTGCTATAACATTATGTATCATTCCACTCAAATTCATAAAATTATAGTTCAGTTGCTGAGAAACTGTGATTTCCTACATGTAAGATAATTTTGGACATGAGCATGCATTAGCCAAAATGCTGGTGCTAGGCTATTTTACTGTGCAATCTCTTAAGGCTCTTAAATTTTGCCTATGCAAATTGTTAAAATTTTGCCATCCTTAAATTCTTTTACCCAGTGTGGCTACTCCGGTTACACCAGTTATGATACCAGCCCTGATTAGCAAGCAAGATAAAACAGTCATAATGGGAAGATGTAAAAGAAACGTTAATAGAATAAGAGTATGATGCTTGTCGAATTAGGGAAAATACATATAGGCTTTGGTAGAGACAGCATTTTTAGTATTCTGTGTAAGTTAAATTATTTATATATATTTTTTAAATAGAAATACCACCAAGGAATAGAATAAAAAATAAAACTGGCTATGTTTTGAAATTTTATTATAAATAAAATTTTAAAATATAGCTAGCTTAAGTTTGAATTATACAAATGCAGTTTTATGACTTAGTTATGAAAATTTTTAAGCCTGCATTATATATAGTGAATTTTATAATTTTCATTTTGCTGCATGATGCATATTTCAAATGCATTTTTGTTTAATACAGTACATATTAGTGAACAAGCAAGCAATACAAACCCTAGAAACTTTGAATTCTGATATTGTCCACTTTGAATATTGAGACTCATTCAGAATGGTCACTTGAATATCCCCATAATAAGCAGGCTGTGTATCGTAAGGCCAATAATGATCACATTTTTCTCTTCCTTTTTCAACACACCTTGTTAGCATCACAATAGCACGGCAATTCTGCTCCCAAATCATTCTCCAAAAATCATCTCTTGTACTGTGCAAAGGCCCCTGAGTAACAATAAACTCTCGAGGAGAATTATATCCCTAAAAATTGAAAAAGGATATTTATTAGGTGGTGATTAAGATTATTTAGTACCTGAGAACTGAATGCAATCTTTGAACATAAAAAAATCTTTACATGATTCTTATAACAAGCAAAACAAGAGTTTTCCTTATATAAAAAAAGACATCGAAATGTAGTATAAAAAACAGCAGTGTACTTTGCTATAATAATCATGACATAAAATAATTACATGTAACAAAACAGTGACAAATAAATTAACATAACAGACTTGATGGAAATATAGCTTGCTAGAGTAATTACGATATGCAGTAATTATGCAAAACAAAATTAAGCCTGACAAATAAATTAATGTATCAGGAAACATAATTCCACTTCCAGAATGAAAGAGTTTCAATATGAAGTAAATAGCATACAGCAAAAAATCTTACTGGTATATAATTGGCATTAATATAGTCAGATCCTTCATCATCATCAGATGGCATGAGCTTTACACGGGAATGATCATAGGGAAGGATGTTGGTGAATCTGTTCTTAGGCCTGTTGACTGGAAGATCTGCAGCATTACACGGTTTATCTCTTCCTACATGTTTCAATAATTCAAATTCTTCAGAAAATCTGAAATCTGAATCAGCTGACAGGAATCGGTAATGATCAGCAAAATCTTTCAGTTTAACTGGTCGACTGAAATAAATTGAAAAAGATCATATTACTAACTTCCAAAACAAACTGTTTGAAATGTTTTAAATTTTAAAGAAAAATGTTCTTTAACAATATTTTAGTTGTGAGTAGCCAACCATAAAATCTGCTACAGTAAGTCATCAAAGAGTTCATCTTCCTTAGAAAAGTTCCAATCATAGATAAAATAGATTTATGTTCATGTTGCACATACAGGAGCTTTGAAATTTATCAAAAACTATCCTGTTCCATCCGGATCAAACTGCACCAAATTACCAATGTTCAATGTCTTAGTTTTTAGCCCAGGGCTGCTAGTAGGTAGAATTATATTTTATGAGAACAAAAATACATACAGTTTTGCAGACAAGACCTGAATGGCACCAGATGAGTGGGCCCCCTTTTAATAAATAACAACAATATGGGGAAAAGAGTAGAACAACAACAATATATGCAGGAATTAGAATTTGGATTATAAATTCTATTTTTAACAAGAGAGCAATTAAATTTATAAGTAAATTATATGTAAACAGTAACTGAATAATGGCACTGCTAATCTTCATTGGAGAAGCTACTCACAAGAATGTCTGCCTGTACTTTTAGTAGTGAATTTCATATCATACTCTTGGAAAGTGATGACATTATAATGAATGGATAATCATACTTGTCTGTAGAGTAATTTATGCAAGGCAGAAATATGAAAACAAAGATATATCCAGTGATATTATAAATACGAAAACATATCAAGATATATCCAGTAATAATACAAATATGAAAACGGATTAAGATATATCCAATAATAACACTGTATAAGAAGGCCGTATAGTGATCAATGACCCTGACTGTGCCATAGTGATGCACCTGGGTTCAAAGCCCAGAGAAGGCTTGGTTGTTAATTGTCCGTCCCTTCATAGGAGGCAACGGTGGCCACCTATTAGGTGCTTTTATAATGAAATGGCCACCAATTTTGGCCCTTATAGTGGAGCAAGGCTAATGGTTATTAAATAAAGTGCTTGGCCATTAAAAAATAATACTATATAAGATGGAATTTCAGACATGCAGACACAACTAACTAATTTAATATAATGCACAAATGCAGAACGTGCACACTACAACAAAAATATGAAAATATTATTGATGATAGCTTTATAAGAAACCCTAACCCTACTTTTTGTTAAGAAAGAGAAGCAAATTAGATACAATTCAAATCAAATGGATAATGGCAAATTTTCAAATAACATTTATTTTTTAAACATGATACTATTAGCTGCATGTATGAAAAGAAATCCATTGTAAAACCTGAAAAGCTAAAAAATTATGTTTTAACACCAATTAGATTTTTTTTGAATACCTTAAATCTGTGAATTACTATTATGCAAGGCATCTAAATATTAAAGATAATTTTACAAGATTATGAATTTAAATTTTTTAAAACCGCAGAGTAAATTAAATTTGATCATCAGTTTTATGCAGTAGCTTTAATGAATTTTTCCTCCTACTTTTTGTAGCAGAACTTATATACACTCTGAAAATTGGGGAAAAACAACTTCAAGCGATGGAAAATTTTTAATTACCTCAGATACAAGTCAAAATGTTTTACAGCTCAGGTAAATCTTTTATAAATGCAGAATATAATATTACATGCAAGTTTGCAATATGACAGTTGAGTTCTGATATAAATTAGAAATTCACTTCCACTACTATTATCAAATGAGTATGTAACAGAATACTCACTGAATATTTATTTCAAATTATGAGTATATTTAAAGCATATATATAAATGTGTAAATAAAAAGTAAAAAACAATTCTATCTCTTTCCCTATATATATATACATAATGATGTGTAGATGGCGTGTTGTTTCTCAGCTATTCACAGAGAATGACAGAGCTGTGTGGATATCTTCAGGATTAAAAGATACATCAGATAACATAAAAATGGAGAAGAAACGTTTTAGCAGAAAAGGCATTTATTCAAACCTAGTTTTATTCTTGTAAGTAAAACTGATTCACATATCAACATGAAAGCTTACACTTTTTTTTATAGATAAAGGAAAACCATATGCAGCTAGCAGAAGCAAGTCGAAGGAGGAAAGTAAGGGGAAAGAGGGTGACCAGTTACAGACAGTGATATTTATAGTAAAAATTTCCTTTAATCTGATTAGCTCAGAATTATATGCAATGCATAAGGTTAAGATGGCACAATGTGGAATTGGTTTTCAGATATGACACAGTTTAGGAAAAAATACCACTGTTTTAGAATAGAGAGGGGAAGTAAGAAGAATAAAGAGGCTATTTCTAATTTAAAGTATAATTTAGAATTACATATTTATCTTAAATATTTTCAAAATTATATTTCTCTTTCACTACTTTAATGCTTTTTCTCTAAAAAGGATTCTCTGTTGCTAAGCCTTTTTCCCCTTTGAAAGGGGGATATATAAGATAAAAAATATGTAAATATAAATTATGATTTAAATTAGCAATAGCCCCTTAATGTTTATTTTTAATTTTGATATTTCTCCTCTATTCTAAAAATAGCAATACCCTTTTCTGAACTGCGTGATTTCTAGATCAATTCACACATATGATTTACACAATGCCGATGACGTAGCTAATTCGGAACTTAACTAAAAAAAATTTGAGAACTGGAAGTTTCTTTTAATAAGCTGCCATATTGAATAACTGTTCACTCTGCTTCTACCTCTATTCTCACTAAGATGCATTTTACTGCTTTTCTTCCTATCACAACAAAATTAAAAATGCAACTGTTCTGGAACAGGCATGATTAATGTGTCAAGTATTTGTTTAAATAAAGTAAAAGGAATATGATTTAAATCTTCTACAACTGTGTCTTATTACATCTATATAACTTCAATCAATGTCTATGAATGTTTCTACAACATTATTATATACAAAAATACACACAATATCAATATATATATATGCATTAATATTATAGTATATTATATGAGCATTGCAGTCTTATATATATATATGAGACTGCATATTAATAATACTAATAATTACAAAATTTATTAGTAAAGATTAATATATCAGAACGAAGTCATATTTTGTAATGCTCAAAATTAAATTTCATCACAAATACAGTCCACTCTGTCCTTAAATTCTGTTTTAAAAATATTTTGGTACACCTATACAATATTTTGTTTTTAATTTCCTACTAATAACAATAGGGGTAAATTAACAAGTAATTTAAAATCACCTTGTGATTATTTCGCTTTCAGGAATGGACATGGAATCATCTTTGATATGGCCATCTGCTACTTTCTTAGTGAATGGTCCATGCCTTTTTTTACTTCTTACAATGATAACAGTGATGATTAATAATAAAATAAGTACTAAAGGAACAGTTATTCCAGCCAGCATAGCAGTGTTATCAGTATCTATAGAAGTAAAAAAAAGTGTTTAATCAGTTTTTTTTTAACAATTAGTTACACAAAATATGTAGAAAGCATAAAAATCAAATAATATATAAGCAATATGAAAAGTTTTGGTAGCAGATATGAATTTCATTTTACAATCTTCTGACAGAATCCCATATTATTATTATTGGTATTGATTTAGTAATTACATTTATACCCCCAGTTACTTACATTAAATTACTTTTATCACTATATAAATTCATACAAAAATTAATTAAAAGCTTAATTTCTATTTTTTTATCTTATAAAATGCTAAAATTAATTTTATTAAAGAATTAACATAAATTATAAATATATATTAATAAATACAAACCTGTCTGAAATGCATAGGAATACACTGTATCCGTAAATTTTTCAGGTGCAGTATATGCACGAACTTTTACTTTGTAATTTGTTCCTGGCTTTAAGGGACCATTGCAGTACCCTTTGACATTAGTGCAATCTTCAGTGCCAAGTGTAAATTCTACTGTTGATGTTCCATTAAAAGGATAAAATGGTTCTGTTACCTAAAATCAAAGAATGGTTTATGTTAATAAAATGCTTGAAATTATATATAACATGTTGAGAAAGGCAGTGTAAATAATTTTATTCAGACCTATATAGAAATTAAAATATGTGTTTAAATTAAATAACAGTAAAATCCGGACACATCTCATGGGTGTGCTAAAGCAAAAAATTCATTACTCTCTCGTACTGTATGTATATGAGATACCAGAAGCTGTACCTTAAATTTATCTACATTATTCTACATGCAACACATACTTTACTAACATAAATGTGCAACAATTAACTATTGATTTGAATAGCATGATGTTGTAGTACATCCCTTGTCCTTTTTAATTTATGCTATGTCCATTTTGGGTAAGCCCATAAAGAATTATAGATGAGAAATGAATGAATTTCTCATATATTATGTACTCAAGGGCATCTTCTTTATTGATCATAAAAAAAAGTTCAGGAGCAGCTCATTGTTTTGCTGTTATGTAATTTAAGTTACACATTTTTCTATGAAAGGGAAAAAAATTAATAAATTTTCATAAAAATATCATTGACCATTCATAATCATGATTGGCAAAATTCAAGGTAATTTTCTTGAGCAGAATTCTCTAGACTAATGCTTCCCAAACATTTTAGCACTATGATACATATGCAAGCAATTTCTGTTTATTTCAAGCCACACGCATATAGTTACTTTGAAAAACGAGAGACAGCTTAAAATAGAGTGCTATAAGAAAAGCTATAAGAGTGCTATAAGAAAAGCTATAAGAGTGCTATAAGTAAAGGAATAATGCTACCTAGTGATATGCAATTTTAAATATTAATTAATAGTTTTCAATAAATATGTATATAAATTTATGATAGGATAAAGAGGACTTCTCATCGTTTTATAACCAACCAAAATTTGCTTCCTGACCAGCTGCTAACATTTTAAAAACCACTTTTCTAAGCCATGTTTCCTAATTTTTTTTTTTTTTTTTTTTTTTTTTTTTTTTTTTTTATGTTCAGCATCACTAGTTCTTGCAGTATAAATATATTGGAGGTCCTCTGCAAGTGAACTGTAGATACTGGCTGGATAGGCATTAAAATTTATAGGTGCCTATTTATTGCACTTATTATAGGTGTCCAGCACATTGTACTATTGACTAAAACTCATCATGAAATTTGAAAACAAATTAGAAAAATTTGAAAACAAATTAGAAACATTAAAGACTTTTCACATATTTCTAGTTGCAGAAGGGAATCAGAATCCCCCCATTAAACATATGCTAATCTTATAAGAATTTTGTATGTTGAAAAAACATGCTATTTGCACTTATAGTTTGTTCTTGTTTTTAAAATGTTAGACAGTTTATAATATGATTCCCCAATTAAGTATTTCTTTCGAAATGAAAAATAAATCTTATACATTAAAACTTGAATCAGCATATGTGAAAGTCTAACTGACATGATTTGGTATAATGCTTGTAAAAATAGGTGGGTGTAATGTTTGTGTAGTCAAATGAAAGTATAATAACTTTTTTAGGATGCAGTTAAAATTGTGATATTACTATAGGCGCCGCTTAATGCGATATAATTAACCAAATGATAACATTAAATGATCAGAAAAATATACCCTTCAACATAGCAATGGAATTCACGTAAAATTCATAGAATGTAGTAGGCATATGGAAGACGGATTGGCAGTCAAGGTAGTTTTAATTCCATTTTTATTTAAATTGACATTTGTGGCCACAGTTCACCTTGCACTCTAATCATGCATATTTCCAGAACATTTACATTTCTGAATACTATTGCAACAGGAAGAGAGCACAGTGTAATTGCATCCATGCAGCACAGATGACGAAGCTAAAAGTGACGCATTTATCCATTATGGCAGCTCACCAAGCAGAAGGTTTTGGTTTAGGTTAGTAAAAAGTTTCAGTTCTCAGAATTTAAATTCCAAATTAACTATGTCGTAAGCAAGCTCTGGCATAGATTTATCTAGAAATGACACATTCCAGAATGTTAAAAAGGAATATATTGATTTTATATTGATTACATGCTCTTTATGAAAGACTTTCACTAGACTAAAATTTCTTATGTACTCTTCAAGCCACTGCACAAACTTTACAAATTTGTCTTTAAAATTGAACTCTAAATTTAATTCACAGATTATGTAATATTTTATTATATTTTTAAAATTGCTTTTAACATGTTTCTGTATCTCTAAATTTCTAAACTAATCTTGAAGTAAATTATTTGTTTAATCAATAGAACTGTGAATATTACATCAAACTAGTTTATCATTAGTGGGTTCTCTGCACCCACTAATGATTTTTCCTCAAAAAGCTTCTCTATCGCTAAGCCATTTTCTTCTTGAAGGGGGAATATGTAAAAGGAAAAAAATAGGTAACTTTAGATTACACTTTGAATTAGCTCTTAATTCCTTCTTTTTTTTTTTTTTTTACTTTTAAAATGCATCGTATCTGGAAATTAACTCTATAACCTCCTCATTAAAAACTTACTACTGAATGTGCTATCTTGCTCAAATATATATATATATATATATATATTGAATGACCTAAAATTCATTGAATTCGAAAACAAGGATGACTTGAAGAAAACTGCAACGGACTGGCGATGGTTCTCTGCATTATAATAATTTGGAGAGGCTTTATTGCATAGTTGGAATGATGGCACTCGAAGAAAGATGCAGCTGTAAATACCATGCATAATTTTATTCTTAGATAATGAAATCTGAGGACACATATTCTTTTTTTATTTCACATCATCATAGTGGGTGTTTTTGATACTTTGAGTGTTTGATACTGGCACTCAAGCAGAGATGAATTTTCCTGCTCTTACCAGTTAACTAAGGGAGTCCCTTAAAGGGCCTAACTTTTGAAGAAAACCTGAAGGAAATTTTACATATGAGAAGAAACTTAGTCAGAAAAAGAAAAAAAGAAAGCATTTTGTTTTCTGAGAGATGAAATTAAAATCCTTGCAATAGTGTAGGCGAGTTGATAGATTCTGAGCTGCCAAGAAAAGGGGTTCCAAGAAGGCATATGTGTATGGTAGGGCTGAATCACGTGTGGTGTGCATGTTGTTTCATCATTCATGGAGAGGGAAAAGTTAAATTTCATCTTTATTGTGGGTGTGCTATGCATTCCACAGTTTTATACGGATTATGTTTTTAGAACAATGGACAATAGCAGACAGAGGCTAAGCGCATGAACTAGCATCTTTATGAAAATGTGCATAATTCCTCGGCTGATCACATATTAAAGCAAAACTTCTAATATAAACAGATAATAACCGCATAGTCTCTCTCTCTTTCGCCACTTCACTTTCATGCTGATAATGTGTCATTTAACTTCTATTAGCTATTCTCCATTATTTGAGATGCAATAACATGTCTAAAATTGTTCAGCGAGTTTAGCACCCCTAGTCTTCTACTAGTTATGAAGATATGTGCTAAGAAATTTGACACCCAAAAATAAATTATGTTTAACTATTAACCCGCGAGCACACGCAACAGCATTGTTCGGGCATGTCATACCCGCGCGTGTACTCGCGTTTCTCAGTGAGTCACTTCGCAGTTCTCGTTTTCAAACTTTTAGTATAGGTTTTTTTTTAGTTGTAAGTATGGCGCCGTATATTCCTTACAATGAAGAGATGAAAAGATTGAGAAATCTTCTTGAAACAGTTTCTTCTGATGGGGATTCATTTAGTGAAGATGTTGATGACGAAGAATACAATAGTAATCATGATTCATCCGTAGAGATCTATCCATAGAGATCATGATTCATCTAGTGATTCAGATACAGAAACAGAAATGAAACTTTGGAATGTAGCTATGAGTTTTATGTTCGAAAAAATGGAGTAAAATGGAACAAAAATAAATTCCGGACTAATGTTAGAATTGGCACCAAAAATATTATAACTAAACTCCCTGGGAATACGAAGTATTCTAAAGACGTCTCAACACATTTAGATTCCTGGTCACTGCTTATCGATGAAGATATGTTAAAATATGTAGTCGACAATACAAATATTTATATTGATTCAGTACGTGGACATTTCACTCGTGAATGGGATGCGAAAGCAACAAATGAGTTGTAAATCAAAGCTTTAATTGGATTGCTGTATTTATGTGGAGTTTATAAATCATCCCATGTGAACGTAAGAGATTTGTGGGCAACAGACGGAATGGTAATGGACATATTTCGGGAAACAATGTCAGTGAACTGATTCCTCTTTCTTTTACAATACCTCCATTTTGAAGACATTAGAGATCGTCCCAGTAGAAGAGACGTTGATAAATTAGCTCCGATCAGAGAATTTGTTGGAAATTTTGTCACAAATTGCCAAAAGGTTTATACTGTAGGAAAGTATGTGACCATTGATGAGAAGTTGGAATCATTCAGAGGTCGTTGTTCCTTCAAACAATATATGCCCAACAAGCCAGCAAAGTATGGCATAAAAATATTTGCTCTTGTAGACGCAAGGGTATTTTATACCTGCAGTATGGAAATTTATGCTGGTAAACAACCAGATGGGCCATTTCAAGTTGAAAATGGTGCAAGCGAAGTTGTCAAACGTTTAATAAGGCCCTTATACAACTCTGGTCGAAATTTAACAGTTGATCTTTGGTATATGGGATATGAATTATCTCAAGATCTCCTAAAGAAAATTATGATAGTAGGTACAATGCGTAAGAAAGAAATCCCACCTGAGTTTCTGTTAAAGAAAAGAGAAGTATATTCTTCAATTTTAGGTTTTCAGAAAGAAGCAACACTTGTATCTTATGTGCCGAAAAAAAATAAGAATGTGATCCTGTTATCCACAATGCAAGGCGATCAAATTGATGAATCTACTGGGGAATCTTAAAAAGTCTGAAATCATTACATTCTATAACATGACAAAAAGAGCAGTCGATGCTGTAGATGAGATGGCAGCTGCGTATTCTACAGCAATATTAGCACGTCGAATGCCTATGGTGATTTTCTTTCCAGGGTTAAAAGTGGTTGCCATTACTGCAAGAATAATTATACTATCAAAGGAACCACCATCAGAATACTGTACCAGGCATACTTTTCTCAAAGCCTTAGGGATGCAGCTAATAGAAAGTGTTCAAAATGAACGACGACGAGCATCTGTAGTTCCTGATTCTAGGCAAACACTGACCACCGATGAACATGTTAACAATGAACCCCCCCCCAAAAAAAACCTAAAATTACTTACAAGAGGTGTACAGAGTGCCCCAAGAAAAAAGATAGAAAGACTAGATTCATTTGTGAAAATTGTAGCAAAAGTATATGTATGGAACATATGACCTCATTTTGTAAACAATGTTCAAAAAATTGTAAGTAAATAATTTTACCTCTCCTTATTCTATCATATTTTGTCTAAAATGAAGTATTAACATGATTTTATATTTTAAATTCTTTTAAAAACCGATTAATTTTATTCAGCAAATTTTTATTCAGGTATGACATACCCGGCGCGTGTTCTCGTGTTCGTCGGATCGGTGCGTGTGCTCGCGGGTTAAGCTAGTCATGTCTCTTCTAAAATTCGATGAAACCATCGACTACACAGCAGTTTTTTTTGGCTATGACTAAAACTGAATTGTTTTCACCTTCTGCCAAAATTACAATATTACATATATGTAAGATAAAAAACATGTAAATCAAAATTATAATTTATATTAGCGAAACCTCTCAATTCTCTCTCTCTATTCTAAAATTCCAATAACTTTTCTGGACTGCATCATTTCTAGTTTAATCTATGTCACATGGCTTGCATAATGCTGATGATAAAGCTAATTCAGAACTTGAGCTCAAATTTCCGAGAACTGAAACCTTTCTCTTAATAACCAATGCAAACCAAAACCTTCTTTCTCTTAGTGAGCCTGCATACTAGATAATTGAGCACTTTTGCTTCAGCACTAAAGTATCTCAAAGTATCAAAAGCACCCACAATGATAATGTGAAATAAAAAAGAATATGTATCCTCAGAATCCACTCTCCAAGAATAAAACTATGCATGGAATTTATAGCTATATCCACCTTTGAGTGTAATCACTCAAACTATGCAGTAAAGCCTCTGCAATTTATTATAACGAAGAGAAACCACCGCCAGTCGTCCACTCCAGAAATACGAATTTGATATTTCATTTTGGCATATTTTGCATCCCCCTGTTTCTTTCAGTTTGCCACTAGGCTTCTGGTTTTCTGATGTGATTTATTCCAAATTGAATATGTGATGATTTTTAAATATACTTTTTAAAATTTATTTTGCATTTATATTATATGTGTGTGTATTGAAGAAGCTCAACTAGAATATTACCGGTCATTAAAGTTTACACTATTTATGTCTGAGCAAACTATAATTCTATAACTGAAAATAATAAGATTACCAAACTGTCAATAAAGTAAAAGATATGCCAGATTTACTGGCAATGCAACATTTACTAGTTTTCACACTTTGATCAAAACAACTTGAATAAAACTGATTTGAAACTTGAATAAAATTGTTGTATTCGAAGCTTCTAAAGCAATACCCTTATTATTATTGAAAATTCTAAGAATTTAAAAACTACTGATATGACTTTTCCAAAAGTGGCAATTTATTTGCATATATTTTGCTCGTAATGCTATAACTAATAGTAAATTACATTCATATACAATAAAAATGTTTATTTTCTAAATCTGTACATTACCACAAACGTTCCTATATAAGATGCACTTCAGTGAAATATTATTCATTTGAATTAAAGAAATTTTTCTCTCATGAAATACCTGTTTTTAGATAAATTTATAGAAAGTTTAAATGCCTTAAACTCAATTTAGAAACTGCATGAACAGCTTTTATATTATTCCTCTGCATTATTCTTTTTCTGAAAAATTTATAACAAAATGGAAATGCTTATTACAAAGCACACAAATAAATTTTAACTACTGATAAAATTTTAATTTACTTGACAAAAATACATTGCAGCATTTGTTTCACTTTTTTCTTGTTACAATAGATATTCGAGAGATATTAATTGATAATGTATCCTTTAATTTCTTCTCATCTTTAAACACAGGGATTCTAAACTATTTCAGATAATTACAGAGTTAATATGAAGAATTTAATGATTGTGTGTGCTGAATTACCTATTTTATGCAAGTAAAATCAGACTATTGACTTCAGGACAAGTATATAAGTGATAAATTAAAATACAAGAAAATCCTGTAGTTAAAATTACATAAATGAGAGACTTAGGATTATACCTTTTAACACCAAATCTGAACAAATTATTTACTCTAAGAATACATTATCTGAAGGAAGAAAATAGTGATTTTTAATCTCAGTCAATGACCTAGTTATAAGAATAAATGTTTTTTTGAAGCAACCGGATTGTTTTTCAGAAGTCAAGATCTTAGAAAAAAGGCAATTTAAAAGCAAAGTCATGAAATTTTCAATCAACACTTTTGTTGGATTCCCTACACCTGTTAACCCTCTGAGTGGTGCAGGATTCTAGATCCGTCATGTAAACCAGTATTTAAACAGCATTTATTAATTTAGTTTCCATAATTACTTATTTTAGTCTGCATTTTCATAAAATTACAGGCATTAAAATGCTTTATACATTATTAAAGAAAGTAAGAAAGCAAAATATCTTAAATTATAAGCTAATATATACCACCAAGTAGCAAAACTTCTGATGACCAGATAAACCCGGTCATAATGCTCAGAGGGTTTTAAGGGGGAAACAAAAAAAACATTGGGTATTGTTCCTGAATCTAGTACATTTGGCATAGTGATAAGACAAGACCTTAAAATTTGTGCAGATGTTAGTCACTCGAAAAAAAAAATGCATGTTCAAAATGGTACATCATTTGAGGGGAAAAAAAAAGGCTAGCATATGTATGCTTTAAGAGTACTATGATATTTAAATACGAAATTTTGCTTAAAAGAATCATTTCTGAAAGCTATTTTAGAGACAAGTTAAAGAAAGTATTCATAAACCATTTACATTTTTTTAAAACCAAACAGTTTATTGAAAAATGCAATTCACTGCATCAATTACTAGAAGGAAGAATTGAGAGAAAGGGGTAAATACCTGATAAGGGGGCCACTTTGAATATTTTTGCACATCATTCCAAGAAGGCATCCTTTGTTGCTTTAAATCTATGCTATCATCTTCTGCAACTATAATAGTATAACTTGTAATAGGGCCATGGCTATGTGAAAAGAAATTTTTTCGAAATTGCACTTTTGCTGTAGTTGATGATTTGCCAACGCTTATGGGAAATATGTTGCTAGCAGGAGGAGGGGGTGCTGTGAATAAATACGCAATTAAAAAATCATAAGTTCCAAATGTTATATATAAAATAATGTTAAAAATAAAATAGTAAGTGATGCTGAAGATTTTTTAAAAAATATTTTGCACAGCAGATTTACACATTATATTATATAAATAAAAAATTCATTATTACTACACAAGTTATGACAAGAAAATTTCGGTATCGTTATGAACTAAAGAAACTAAAATTCTATTATTATTTTAAATCTCCTTTATGAGGCTTAAAAATTTAAATTAAAAGTAAATATTATAATGTTTTGATAGCTGTTTTTTTAGCATATTGCAAGTTTCCTGCAAAACTGTAAAGAATGCCTATTGTGCAATTTAACTTTTGTTAGATGATTCTAACCTTAATTTTTGATGCTCTAATTGGTTAAAATGAAATTAGGAATTGTATTATGAAATCAAAAAACAAGAGTCAGAAAGAAGGCAAAGCCAATTATCACAGTCAGGGTATAAATTAGTAAGGTAAAAAATTATCAGAATAACTGCAGAAGTCAGAGATATCATACCATTTCCTTTGGTTTGCAGAATTAACACCAAGTAACAAACAAAAAGTTTTAAAACAAAAAGTATGCATATAGACTTTACTTAATATTTGACAACAAAGTAAGTTATGTTCATTGTTGATAACCATCAAGTGCACCCTTAAGTTTGTGGTGGGAAAGGGAAGAGATAAATAAAATATAATAAAATAAAATAAAAAATAAAATGCATCCAACATGAACTTTTACCGTTTATTATGTTGTGAAACCTTAGTCACCAAATCAAGGTATAAGTCATAACTGCATGGTTTATTATCGCATATTAAATAAGAAAATTATATGGTATGGAAGAAGATGATTATTTTTCAACAGATCAGATGCTTTATGGTTAACTTCTAGCATTTGGAATACTAATGTTTTATAATAGTTAATGCACTTTAAGAGAAAAATGCAGATTTTTTGCTCTATCTCTTATAATTAAAGGAAATGTCTTTCAAACTCTGAGGATTTGGATAATTTAAAATATTCCTGAAATACTAGAGATATTTATTAATTCAGAAGTCAAACAACAAAAATCAGCGTTATATTTTCAAAATTAGCATTTGCGCTCAGAGCTTTTGCGCAAATGCAAAAGTGCTTTTGCAGCTGAGGATGGTGGTTCGGTAAAACCATCAAAACTAGTCCTGTGAAAATTTGAAAATATAACGCTGATTTTTGTTGTTTGACTTCTGAATTAGCATTTGTCTGACGTGTTATTGTGTCTTAAGTACTAGACATATTTGGTTAAAATAAATTTTTCCTGATTATATTAGCATAGATAATATGAGCAATCAGCAAGGGATACATAGAATAATTTGAAACTGATTGAAACTGACCAAATGTTATTCGTTATTGAACTAGACTTCAACAGTTCACTTTTTGTTACTTGTTCAGTGTTATACTATATGATATGAAATACATTATTAAAATGATTCATGAATTAAATAAGTTACCCAACTTGTTATGAAATTAATTTTAAAATCCGAGACAAAATGCAATACTTTAGCTACAGTACTGAATTGCTACATATTTTTTATCATAGTAACCCAATATACACTAAGCAACATTTCAGAATAGTAAAATTTCAGAAAAGTAAAATTTCTAGTTTTTCTAGTCTCATGGATTATGGAACATCAAGCGTTTAAGTCATTTGTAATTTTTTTACCTATTTCATAGAATAAATTTATCAAAATGTTACCATAAAACTACATTAAACTAATCAAGCTACTGAAATCTTTTTAAAGCAACAGCAACTCAATAGGACAAATGATTTAAAGAACATTCTTCGATAAAAAGCTCTGTCAAGAGAATTCTCTAAATTCATTTGGTACGTTCAAAATATAACTTACCTCCTAATGGGAGAGTTTTTTCCAAAGTTGCTTTCCCACCAGGTCCTACTTTAGTGTGAGCTTGTATCTTTAGGTATGGAAAAGATGTTAATGAAATTAAACTAGACAACATAAAATGTATTTTATTAATGAATTTTTGAATATATTTTATACTACATATAGATAATATCATATGTAGACATAATAGATTAGAACCTACTTCCAAATTTCCAAAGGTATTATTTGCTGCTTAAAATGAGATAACAATGAATGTAATTTAACAATGCATGAGCTAAAATTCCTGCAAAATTTACTGAGACATTTAAAACAATTATATGGCATGTTTATGTTATATGGCAATTACATGAGTACCATAACTGAAAATAAATTAGATGGTAATCAATCGATAATTAAAAACAAATTACTGAGGACAACCAACAGTTTAGACCAACTTTTCTACCAGTTGCACCACTAAACAAAAGATACTTTCCTCCTCCTTCATTTTATTGTAAGCAAAAATATACAAATGATACATTTGTACAATCAACTGTAAGTAATTGGCTTAATGTCATTATCAGTGCAAAGAACAGCAACTAAAGTCAGCTTTCCTGTACATGGCAATCATGTAGAAAGGTTGTGAAAAAGTGTAGGTCGTCTCAAATTTTCTTTTTGTACAGCATTTGCTTAAATATTAAAAAAAATAACAAAAGAATATAAATGTTACATAAATATGATTCTTAAAGCTGTTAATATTATTAAAAAGTAATGAAGGCAAAATTTAATTTACCTCAAATACATACGTCTTTCCTGGTACAAGATTTTTAATAGTACCTTCAGTAACTGTAGGACCAAATTTTTCATACTGATGAAACAACGATCCCTGTGTGAGAGCAAAATACAAAAATTAGAAGTGAAAACTATTAACGGCCTATTTTAACATTTTTCATGCATTTGGTATTAAAATTAAATGTATTTAATAACATTTTGAAGCTAAAAAAAGTAACTTCATAATTAATCTAAAACAATAAACTTATAAACTGTCAGAATTTTGCTTGAAATTTGACTAAAATTTTGGTATAGGAAAGGGCATAAAAATAAAAATCTTTAGAAAACTATTTAATACCCAATCCCAGGCATGACATTTTTATTCCTTAAAACAATATATATATATATATATTGTATATATTGAATTTCTTTATTAATCAGCTATATAAGTTTTAACAGGTCTTATAAAAATGTAAGAATGAAAATTAAATTATTTAATTCCTGCAAATCACTCAGAAACTATCTGCTTTTCAAAAAGTGCGCTTCATTAGCAAACAATTTAACCTCAAAACTGTCTCATATGCAGTGAAAAATGATCTAAAGAAAATCTAAACAAGAAATTTGCATCATATGTATGAAACCCAGGATGAAACTACTCATGCTTAATGGTTTTATCTACTCCAGAATATCCTGAATAGTATAAATCAAAATTGAATTATAACCAAAAGTACTTATAAAAGGTTAATAACAGAAAAAGGTGTTCATGGCTGAATATCTATGTACCACAATTCTTTGGATTTCAAGTGCACTTTTTGTTCAAATTATTAAGACCTAAATTTAGGGAAGGGCCTAAGTCAATATTTTATCTTTTTATATGTAATGAACATTCTCAATAAATTAGGCAGCTTATTATATTTATATTAGAATGCAAAAAAACACGTGGACATACAATCTAAAATTTAAATTAAAAAAAACCAATTAGATATGATGTGGAGCAAATAAAAAATAAATATTATTTATATTCAATTAACCCATACTCTGAGTTTCACAATCAGAAAAATTCATGCTGTGAAGAGAACATTGGTAACTTCCACTACAAAACAACTACTACTACTTGGTGAAAAAATTGTACAGGACCTCTTAAAAGTATGTATTATGAGAATATAATCATAATCTCAAAACTAATCGCAACTGTAAATTTAATAAATTGCACATCTTTTTAAAGATAATTTTAGGTGTGATTCAAAACTTTTTTGCCATTTTATAAACAAAGAATTACATGAAAAGTTACAAAAGAAAAAGGGCCCATAAAAAGCAAATTCAACCAATAAAAAAGTAAAACAGCTTTTTAAGTCCATTTTTTGGAAGAACTTCTGACAGAAATATTATTAATTATGGTACACTAATTGCAATAAAAGATATGTATGAAGGTATACTGCTTGCAAGTAGATGTATGTTTCTTTGCCTCAAGCATAATTTTTGCTCGTGAACATAAATTAAACTCGGGCTTATAGTTTAATATAACAGATTTCAGCTCAAAATAAGTTAATAATTTTATGTTTCTTGTAATCCTTGTACAGCAAAAAGGTCAATTAGTATGATGTTCATTATTCTTTAAGATTTAAAAGTAAATAGTTTTCATGTATAAAACTTCTTAAGATATTAGTAATGAAAAGGTTTACTGGGTCAGCTACAAAGTTAACAACTAGTTTTGTACAATCCAATACAGTACTCTTACCTAATCGAATCAGAAACTATTTTAGAGTTTCTCTCTAAATTAGATCAAATTATTATCAAAATCATATATTAATAGCCACTGAAAATGATAAGCTCTAGTAAATTTGCTCATTGTGAAATTTGTACACGAAGGCATGCAGTTTCTTGCATTTAACTTATAAATGTAGAATGAACTTCTTATTAATTAGAACTTTTTTCTGTGAGCACCTTATAGAAAATTATATTTTATTTTTACATCACTTTAAACCCCAGAGTTATAATTTTTTTCAGAGTTCTCCACCTTATTTTGAGAATATTTGTAGATGGACAGGCATATCTAGGATAAATAACTAAGGAAATAAATGAATATATCTACCATTTTTATAATCCTATTAATGCGTAACACTGCACAGATTTTTTTGCCTTTATATCACTTAAAAACTGTTTGTGTAATAGCATAATCACATGCAATATACAACCTTACAATTCATATAAATAAATACATAATAACTAATCAAGTTCAAAATGTGGATAAAGTTAACCTTAGGACTAATAAAGAAGATGAGTTTACCTTGACAAAATATGTTATTACAAAACCAGTTAATATTCCATTTTGTTCACTGCTTGGAAGAGACCACTGGAGAGTTATCACATTGGGTTTCACTGAGACAGCTTGAAAATTATTAACTTTACCAGGCACTAAAATGCAGATGAGAAAAATTATTTTTGTACATCTAGTTGAAATCAATGCATTTTGAATAATAATCAGAGCAGTGATAAATCCTAAATTTTGTTGAATCAGAATCATAAAAGGTTTTTGAATCTCTTGAACCTTTCATATAACAATAATAAGAAAAAAATAATGTTATTAAATGCTTTTTATAAACCAAACTTAAAAATTTGAATTTAATGGAAGTTTTTAAGAATGCAGTTTTAAAAACTCAGCAATATTTATTAAGAAGAAGACACGAAATTTAATAAATGAAGTACGATATTAAATCTTTTTAATCTTGAGGCTCTTTTTTTCAGTATAATTTGACAGAAAAGTTTTAACAGTGATTAATGTTTTTTAAACAAGGGGAGAGAGAGAATTATTATTAACATAGCTAAACAGTAAATTCTCACCAGAAAATTAATCATGTTAAACAACGTGATGCTGGCGATCAAGGTCCAATGAAACTAATATTCTTTACTAAAGAATGCTTCTAACGGATAGCAATAAAACTGGTCTTTCTAAAGTTTTGATTCAAAACTTGTAATGCTTTTTATGTTATGAGTCATAAGATATGAATGATGAAAAAAACCACAAATCTTAAAGCTCTTACACAATTCATGGAGTCTGAATATCCTATCGATAACAATAATACACTTAGTGAATTTCTTTCAGTCTTGCAAATACAGAATTACTTTGCAAACTTTAACTTTATATCAGCTTCCTGCTTTAACCCCCTTCGAGCAGGGTAGCGCAAACGCGCGCTTATCGCGGAGGCCGTCAGTGTCTTACGCAAGCGTCTGTACAGAGCCGGGGGCTTTTTAGCTACTAAGCCTAAATCCATGAAATTTCTGAAGTATCAACGCATTGTTTAATAATGCTCTATAGAGTATTTAAACGGCTTATGCTTTATAGATATTTTTATACTATATACTTTAATTACCTTATTTCTTGTTTAAATGCATATTTTACACATTTTATTTTCATTACTCACCATTTTATGACTTTTAACATTATACATCTGAAAACTAAATATATTACTTAAAATTCTCTTTTCCTATGAAAAATTTGAAAACAGGGATCTACACACAGTCCTACGTTACATTCCTTGCAATCGTAATAACTCATTTGCCGTTTTGGAGGATTTTTCCGGGAATGTGAACAAACGAAGCATCGTCGTCTCATTTTCTTATCAGTCTCTTCTGAACAAAGTTTTCGAAAATGTCTTTCAGTTAATCTTTCAGAATCAATATCAGAATATCAGAATTTCAGAATCAATATCTGAAATATTTTGCATCATTTCTGATTTTTCATGCTCTGTTAAACATTTTCGACGCTTCCGACATTGCAACGGTAAAAACAGAAAGAATTCACGTCTAACAAGATCTAATTATTTTCTAAAAACTGAACTACAAACCGAAATACCCAACGCTTTAGCGCAAATAAAACTTCTCTATTTACAATAAATAACTACCATGTGCGAATAAAGTGCGATTTAAAGAGATATCATAAATCACGCCATTCGGAAACATTTATTTCCCCTTTTGTTTATATAATCAAAAACACATGTATGTGAGTCATGCTTCTCTCATTTCGAATAGAAGGTCTAATGTACATGTATCTGAAACCATATGAACATACAGTGCTATCTTGTGGCAGAAATTATAGTTTTTAAAACGTTCCAGGACACTGGCACAAATATGTGACAGTCGGTAGTGAACGGGAAAACGCTCTGGCACGCCTGGCGTGTCGGCTGGGAAGTGAGTGTGTTCGTTGCTGGCATGTAGACGTGACAGTTGGCGCGAAGGGGTTATGAAAATGACTAGAAAGAGAATAGGAAAGGATCTTACCTGATTCTAAAGTATGAAACGTTCTTGAAACTGGGTGACCTCTTATCGTAGTAGAGGTGTCATACCCACTAAGGACTGAAACCAAAAATGTATAATTATGGTGAGGTTTCAAGCCATTGTAACTGATTCGATTTAATATAGTGACATTTTTTATAAGATTTCCTTCATGATCTTGGTACTGCACTTCATAACCATCCTTATCGCCATCAGGAACATTCCATGTCAAAGTAATTTCAGTGTCTGTTATTTTAGGTGCTGTGATTTCTCCAACAGATTCAGGGTCTAAAAATCAACAAGTTTGCATTTAGCAAATTGGTTTTAATACTCTATGCGCATAAATGACATAACATTAATGATGCAGAACGAAAAGATTTTGCAGTTGTACCAAAATATGCGCTTAGACACATGAGTATTACAAGTAAATAATTTGCTGTCTTAAAATATTAAAAAAATTTCAATGACTATGAGAAATTTAACTGGAGAATACTGTAATGATGTAAATAAAATTCTAAAAAGTATGGAAAGCGACCTGTTAACTAGCTTAAGCTTAAATACTTGTACCAAGTTAAGCATTACTTCCTTTATTTTTAAAATTTCATAATAACAATTTCTTATTGCACAGGAAGAACTAATTACATGATTAGAATTTTTCATAACAGTAATTCATACAGGGTGCAGCAGCGTTCATAGCGTAATTTGACTTGCACAATGATGTACTGCATGAATGCACGTCAGCTTGTGCCACATTCATGTACTAATGAGCTGCCATTTCGAGTGTGACAGTGATATGGATCATTGGAGTGCACATCATCGTGCCTTTGCTGTTGAAAGTTATTTCAAGAATAACTACTCTGTTATTGCTACCCAGCATCCATTTCAGCAACATTTCAACTTGAGATGTTATGGGAAAGTTCCAGATGGACGGACCATTGCAACAGACATTTCCAGGTAGAGTAATTTCCCGTTTTGGTGACACTTCCTAGCCACCTCGCTCACCTGATCTTTCATGTGCCGACTTTGGGGGCACCTGAAGCAAGAAGTTTTCCAAACACATTGTGTCACCAATCCTGAGTTGAAGGATGGCATCCGAACTGCCGTCGGCAACGTCCCAGGGAATATATTACGCCGAGTTATGGCAAGCTTTCAACGCCGCCCAGATGAATGTGTTGTGCAGAGGGAGCATCATATTGAAAAAGTAATCCACGCAACAGCCAATGACTTGCACATTAGTAAATGGCATACTTTTTAACTATCAATTGACATAAGAGGATATAAATAAATTACGGTTACTGCCTTATGGTGTGCTTTTAATATCCTACTATGAATGCTGCCACACCTTATATATATATGTAATTCATACATTCATTTTGATTTGAATAAGGCATTTAGAAAATAGAATGTATGGTAAAACATAACTTACATAATCTAGCCTGCCGGTCTATAGGCACACTATATACTCCACCACTTACGGTCCATATGCTTATATTGTACAGACGTCCAGGAATTAGATCATCAAAAATCACCAGACGATTTGTATCATTTTGAAGTTTTTCTTGGGCAGGAATGTTTGTCCCACTAAGTTGGAATCGATATCTGTCAAAAACAACATTTCGTATAGGAGTAGGAGTGTACTTTATTCCAAGTGTTTTAGTCTCCTGTTCATCAGTGACAATGTGAATAACAGAATCAATAACAGGCTCTGAAATACAAAAATAATTCTATTACAATGAAGGAATTAAGTAAATGAAACAAAAGAAATAACAAGTCATATAAATAGAAAAGTTCTGAATGGAGTTTTTTTATATATATTTTACAAATAGCTTATATTTTGGACTTGTCAATTTAAACAAATCATTTAATCAAACAATTACACAGTAACATATATTATTATTTACATGATTCATATAAAATGAAATACATTTTTATTTATATATCAAGTATTTTTTTTCTTTTCTTTCCCCCTTCTCTCTTTGAAATACAGAGGTAGGTTCAAAAACGGGCAGAACTTAAAAATGCATATCTGAATGGACATAAACTGCATACAGTTTAGATGGAAAAAGTGCAGTAAAACATAATTAAATAATTATACCATAAATTGAATTTTGACTATTGTTAAGGAAAAAATTTTTTTCTGAATTACAAAAAAAGCATCAAGAACAGATTATATTTTGAATAATCAGAAATTGGCCAGTACAGAAATAAAACTTTGGAAAAAGTATACAACAGCTATAATTCAATTTACGAAACATTTCTCTATCATAGATGATTTTTAACAAGCTATTTCATAAGATGATTTTTTAACAAGATACGAGTATTTGATTATTAACAGCTATTGTAAGCTTGCATTGCTGTTTTATGCATGAATAAATTGTTAAGCTTATTCAGCATGAACAGATCATTCACACTTGAACGCAAAACTGCACTGTAAATTAAATTACTTGTAAATACAGCTTCTGTTAAAAGTAAATTTTATTATAGTACAGCACTGTTTAACTTGATTAATTAGGGAGGCCATTTCACATGGCATCATTTTGCCAAACTGCATGGTTGCTATTTTCAGTTATAAAAGGCTTAAGCAATAGATATATTACAACACATTTTCCATCTTTTTATTCTTTAGTAGCATAAGTAATCTTTTATGTTTAATCTCTCAATATTAGAATGCAGCTAGCAGCTATACAGTGTTATTTAATAAGCAGCAATATACATATATATATAAGAAAATCATTTTCTGGCAAAGATTTCACTGAAAACTGTTTTGCATGCAATACACCAACATGATTTTCTTTACATAAAATAATAATAATAATAATAATTTAGCTCTAGGAAATGAAAAAATAAAAAAGTTATTTATAAAAACTTGAATGCAATTAAGTTATCAGACTCACACTATTATTTTTCTCCACATTTTTGATCAAGACAGATTTGGATAAGTGAGGTTTTACCACCATGGAATATAAAAGTAGACTAAAAACTCACTTGTTCTAGTTTGAAGTCCAATGCCTTCACTCCGCAGACTATGGCTCACAACATAGAAGAGGAACGAATAAAGTTCTCCAGGCTTAAGATCATTTATCATGCAACTCATTACACCATCTGGACGAGAATCATTTGCAGGTACCTGTGAAAATCGTTTATGATTTGATTAATAAGCATTTTAAACATTACATATACGAATGAATGAATAAAATATTTAGAACATTTGTATTTTTTATAAATTAATTGAGAGTTTAAGAATAAATAAAACTCTTTAAAAGGAATAAATAAAATAAAAATATAAAATTCTTACAAACCTGATGAGATAGTTGTGCAATTGGAGATTTCACAGGATAATAGTTGATAATATAATAATCCTTTTTCCCTGATGGTATATTCCATTCAAATGTAATATTATATGAATCAAGAATATGACGTACATGCTTTATTGGATTGGGATCTAAAATTTACATATCAGAAGTAAAATTGAGTTGTTAAAATAAAATCATTCATGAATGCAGATAATTAAAGCATTTATAAAAGCAATGTTTTAAAAACTTACACATTGTTTGTTCAACAATTTTTGCATCAGGACTTTCAACTTTGTTGCTCATTGAAACAACCTGAACCTCATATTTTTCTCCTGAATCAAGATTTTTTATCTCACAAGATGTTGCATTTACTATAACTGTAAAATATATACAAATGTTATAATTTTCAGAAACATTACTTGCTCATTAGTAAAAAAATTATTTATGCATAACAATAATCAAAACTTTTGAGTGATAGCTTCATACCCAATGATTTTACTCATATTGTTTGGTAACCATAACATGCAGCTTAACTTGCATATATAACAACGATCAAAAGTAATAGCATAAATTAAACTTTCAGATGACATGGAAGCTTATTTTTAGTCGCTTAAAATATAGAAAATATTTCATAGGTAAAAAACTGAAAGGTTAAATATGATCAATAGTGAAAATACACCTACCAACTTCTTTCCACAGGATACTATCAAATGCGCGATAACGTACAATATAGTGATCAATTACAGACTCATTTGGTGCAATCCAAGTCAAAATCATTGTTGAATTACTTGCTTTCACAATCTGAACATTATGAGGAGATTTTGGTGCTAAAAAATAGCAAAAAAAGAAAATTCACAAATTAATGACTCTTTATTACTGTGTATAATCATGAACAAATGCGATAAAAAGAAATTCAGATAACAGACAGACATAATTGAAAAAAGCATGGGTAATTAGGAAAACTGAGCTGTGAAGTCAAAAAGGGGGGGGGGTGCTCAAATGAAAATAAGGAAAATTGTGGACTTATGCAAGAATGGAAGGGAAAATTAATAATGCAGGCATTATTGGGTTACAATCATTAAAAACATTTGCTCTAATTTTTCTATATGTTTAATTGATAATACATGTTAAAACCAGCAGAATATTCTTCAAAGCTTTGTACACTAAAATATATGTTATGTGTCTAAATTTTAGTTTTAGCTGCATAATACACAATTATCTAATAAACTTGCATGATATTTCTATTAAAAGGTTGAATTTGGCAAGTCAGTTACTCTTGATTTAGAAATACAAGTGATAGATTAAAATTATGAAGATTTTTAAGGATAATTATTTAATTGTGATGATCAACTATTTTGATTTTCCCTCCAGTATGATGTTATTACAATTCTTGAATTCACAATGAAAAGTAGTGTTTTCAAGAAATCTGGTAAAATTTATAGTAGTGTAATTACTACATGGTATTAATTCAGTAATAAAAGTTTCTAAATTAGAAATCTAAGAATGTATATTGCATAAACAGCATATGCAACTTATACAAATAATGAAACATTATATTTTATTCAGAAGATCACACTTCATAGCATTATTTCCTGCACTATGTTTTATTCCATACATCATCCCACAAGTTTATACATTCTGTGAAAAGTTTATCATATTTTCTTTATCGAAGATCCCCTCAGAAAAGCATTATACATGGATTTGTAGGTGCTAAACTGTATTATTATGATCTGCACTAGAAATAATAATATTCTATTAGAGGAAATGCTTGCAAAGAAATAATGTCTCAAGCTACCGTATATTTACTGCAGAAGGCAGAAATGAGTATATAGCTGAACAGCACCCTACTGGAATGCAATAATAAAGTTTTATTACAAAAAATAATGTGAAATAATGTGAAAAATGAAATTTTAAGAATGCAAATTCATGGCTAGATTACTTCTAAAAACCAACAAATATAATTAGGTGCTAAAGGCAACTTATCCATATCCCAATATTAAATGTTGTCATAAAATAAAAACAAGCATAACCAGTACAATGTTCTGCATTATAAAGAATGCAGTGCCATATTTAAACCAAGTTTTCAGTTTCAAAAAAAAAAAAAAAAAAAAATTATTAAAGCTGATTTTTGTCATTTTAATAGCACTCATCCCTCCATTTCTTCAAGTGATGGTAGATGGTGATTCTTTCTTCAATGATGGTAGATTGTGACTATGTGTGTGTGTGTGTGTGTGATTATGGCAAAGCCTCGAGGGCTATCTGCCTAAAAGGAGGGATGCCTTCGTGGAGGACTTTCTAAGGGAAACTGGCTCGTATACACGTTACACATGGGGAAAACCACGAAAACGCCCATGCAGCCAGCCCGTTCGCGGGATTTGATCCTCGGACCGAACTACCAGTGTTCAGCGATTTTACCGCTCGGCCGCTGGTGGGCTAGATTGTGACTATGAATCATAAACATATTAAAAGCCGTGATTGGAAACAATACACGGTTTCAACAATGGCACCACATCTTAATAAATAGTAAACGGTGAAAGTGACGATGTCTTTGTGACCTACTACATAATTAATTTATATTTTTCTGTTGTTCATCTCCTTCGAAATCCTTATAACAAGAGGAACAGACCAATTAAATATTAAGATTAATACATTAATTTATGTGAGAAGACATTCTAACCTAGAAAAAAATATACCATATTTACTTGCATGTTTATTGGCCCTCTATAGTTTTTATAGTATGTGATTCTGAAGCTCCTGATTTTAAGGTGCAGCATGCAAAGTATGAAAGGATAGCACAATGTATTATGTAATGAAAGAATTAACTGCAGCGGATTTCTTTGAAGTACAGAATATAGTATTGATAGCACATCTATTCACATAAACTTTTAATATATCTAGTTCTTTTTTTTTTTTTTTTCCTTTTCTTCTCAGAAATGATATACACCATGTAATTTTCTCTTCTTGAGCTTCAAAAGTTAAAAATTAGTAAAATTAGGAAAAGGATATAAGAGTAAATACACTATTTACAAGCTAAAATTTCTATTATACGAGTAGTGATTAATATGAAGCACTTAAAAAATTATATTGAGAAAAATATGAAGCATTTAATTTCTTGTGATATAGATTTGATTGTGATTTCTTGAAATGAATGTTAGGCATTAAGAATCAGTTATAAAAGCTTAAACATAACCCTACCATAGAAGTATGTATGGACACTATTACTGTGAAAAACAAGAATACAAATACTTATTATTTGCTATAATAATAAATCTCATAAATAATGAAAGGAATATACACATTTCTCTCTAACATGGTCAGAACATATTATTTTCATACAGTTGAATGATCATACATGGTTTCAAATGCAAATATTTGATTCCTTAAATTATATTAATTAATACAAGCTTTTACCGATTTATTGATTGGAAAATTTTAAGATATATATTATCTTAATTTATAATTATTTCAATAACATTTTTTACGTAGTTTCTTTAATTTGGGCTTAAAATTTACTAGATCAAAAGATAAATGGTGTCAGCAGATTTATTTCATGAAGTCATTCATTTGGACATGCTCTGTTTGTGAACTTTTAATAGTTTTCATCTTACATATTTAAAAAGAAAGAAAAATTTGATGAAATTTTTAAAAAATAATTTAAATTTAATAGTTTACCACTATTTCAATATACTTAATGAAATGAAATTATCTCCATACCAAGTTTTGAGTTTCAGCATAAGAAAGAAATGCCCTACATACTGATGTATACAAGATTTATAGCTTGGTGCAAGTAAAAATTCTGCATCATTTCATCAAAGCATATTTTCTTCATCTAACCAAATTTTAAAAATTAATTTAGATGCTTGCATTCATAAATGATATATGAGTTTAAAGATACTTTTGCAGAGAACTCAAAAGATTTCTAAGCTTTAAAATTACAACATTATTGCAAATATTATGAATGAGAAAATGAAAAAAAAACTGAGCTAATATAAGAAATTTTGATGGTTCTTGTATGAAAAAACTGTAAAGTTAATATAAGTAATTTTTATGGTTCTTGGAAACTACTTATAACATTGAAATTCAAAAGAAAATAATAAAGTGAAACTACAAAATATTACAAATATTAAACTTACAAAATATTACATTTTACACTAAGACATACATTTTAAACAAGTTTTTTCTTATACAAGTTATTAACATTATTATATTATTGTTAATATTTAATTATTGTTATGTTATTGTTAATATTTAATTGAAAAACATTTGTTTTTAATTATTAATGCACATGGGGATAGTATTAAGAAGTTTACAAAAGTAAATATCATCTGCATATTTCCAATGGGAGTGAGATCTGGCAATAGGGCGGCGATTTCAGTTTTTTAACTGATTCAGATGAAAACCATCTGTCTACTGTTTGTGCTGAATGGCATAGTGATAATTGTTTTGAAACATGTTAACAGTTGAGAGAAGCATTTTTCTCAAGCACATTAATATATCGGCTATATTTTCTTCTATCATGTTAAGTTGGCCCACTTCACCTGTTTTAGATACAACCCCATATCATAACTGCAGCATAATGCTTTACTGTTACTGAAATGCAGTATTGTTTAAGATGGCATTGTACAAATGTGGCTTCTTTATAGGGTGGCAAAGAAAGCATTGATTCATCATTAAAGATAACTTTGCACCATTGAACCCTAGATCATCAAACATGAAGTCCTTATTGTAGTCACTTAATTGCAGCTTCTTTTTTTAATTAACGAAAGTTTTTTTTCATAGACTCGTGGTCTCTTAAGGCTTTTTATTCAAATCCAATCTACAGTCCACCTGAAAACATTGACAGAACAACATATCTGCCACTGCCTTAATGCTTTACAACTATCAAAAGAATAAGACTGGTCATTTCATGAAAAACTTTTTTTTTTTTTTTACTTTACCTTTCTGTTCTGACCTTCCAAATTTCTCATTAAATTGAAGTTACTAATGAATCTACTAAGTGTTGAATGATAGCTGCCAGAATTCCTAGAAATTTGACAGCAAGCTTGCCATGTGTAATTATTTTGTTTGCAAATGACACTTATTACACTAATATAAAAGAAACCAAAATCTTAGAAGAAAGCAATAATCTTTCTTTTATTGGTAGAATTTGAACATCAGAGAAAACTACAGCAGATTAAAAAGAAAATCATTAATTTTTTTTTATTCAGCCATTCTTTCTTTTATAAATTTTCAAAGAATGCTGCTATTTTAAAATATGTTTTGAATGCTATATAAAATTACATTTAAAATAATGTATAGTTTCTTAAAATTTGGAATTGATGTTAATTTCTGAAATGTGCTCATAATTCATATTTTAAAGAGATATTTCAGAATTTTTGCACCAAGCTTTATACGTTTCATGCATTTTAAAAGTACAAAGGATCTTTATAATTAAAAGGAAAATTTTTAAGCAGTTAATTTCCCCTCCCCATTTCTAACAAATAACTGTTAAATATAAAATTTGAAGAGTTTTGCTTTTTAAGAAAAAAACTAATTTCAGTTTAATTCAAAATGTCTTTGTATTACTAACAGTTGTATGTTAAACATTAATGATGATTTTCATAGAAATTTAAGAAACTGTATTTAACAACAAAGAACAGTAGCAATTTACAGATGTAACATTACAGGTAAAAATAATTTCAATTATTAATTTTTGATAAATTTTTAAGTCATGTATTTAACCCCAAAATATGATTTACTAGAAATTTCAGAAACAAAATAATGTTCTTGAAATAAATCTATTAAAGAATTAAATAGCATGAAAAATATTTTACCAACAGTCTGGTAGTAAGAATGTGGTTCGCTTTCTAAGCCATAGCTAATGGCATAGACTTTAATCTCATAACTAGCACCAGAATACAAATTATTGATTAGCAGCCAATTATCTTTAGTGGTATTAGTCAATATTTCGCCACTATCATTTCTCAGCCATACGACAGTATACGAATCCTGCCTGCTTGTAACATCCGATTTCCAAGATATATTCCAACCAAGCTCCACAGGTTCTAGCATTTCTATGACTGGAGGTGAAGGCTCTAAAAACATAAAGATAAAAATATTAATAAAAAGGGCATTGACAAGATATAAAACAGATTTTATATATTGCACAGTTTCTTGGTTATAAACTTGAGTTGATTTCATGCATACATTTCATACATACATTTAAATTCAATTTTTGGGGCTCTGAGTTATAATTATGGCAATTAAACGGTAAATATTTTGTTAATATATTAAACATTGTTTTACAGCATTTGCATACACACACACACTGGCATACCTATAAGCTTTTTTTTAAATTTAGTTAACTTGAATTTTTACTAACATGCTAATATTCTTGTTTTCTCTAATAATAATTAACAAAGAAAATATTAGATGTCCTAGACCTTACTTCGATTAACTTAAATTTTACAAAAATTTGCCCATTTTTAATATTAATGAAGAAAGACATTTTTTATTAGTAAGATGAACTAAGTTTGGAATGATACTAATTTAGGAAAGACTATTGTCCGCTCCAAATAGAAATTAACAAAAATGAAAAAAAAGCAAAAATTTCTAAAGAGTATTATATACTTTTAAACATACTCTGCTATGATATATAGAAAGGGACACACATAAATCATAACTGCTTGATTTTGCTTTCTTTTAATAGAAGTCTTGCTGTTTACAATGTGACTTTTGGGAACAAGCATGCAAAACAGGCTTATGAACTTCATTACTGAGCACTTTTTTACTTAGTTTCAAAATTTTAAAATACTTGGCTTAAATTTTTAAAATTTTGCAGATAAAAAATAAGTAGTAAGTGCCAAATTACTACCCATTTGCTATATTCTGAATTACACTTACAAAACATATTAATTTTCATCTTGGGGAAAATAAATTATTAAATTTAAGTACGCTAGCACTGACACACTATTTCCAATGATGAATTAGATTCATCTGCATTCTAATCCTTAATTTCTTATAAAATAATTCACTTTGACTTACTAGTAGCTTGGTAAACAACACTGGCCTCACTAGGAATTCCATGACTTAAAGCTACTACACTTATTGAATAATTTCTCCCAGGAAGTAAATCGCTCAATTGATACTGAGTCTCATGGACAACTTGTGGAATCCCATCACCGTTGTAGGCTTCCAATTCGTGGTTACTGACCTGTACAAAGAAACAGATGGAACCATTTAAATGCTCTCTTTGGACATTTCAAAATCAGAACTTCCAAAGTCATTCTTCCTGCTAGTAAAACTTCAGATTTGTACATTAGAGTACATAAAATATTGAAAAATAGTTTATTCAGAAATCCTATCAATACATGAATATATAAAACTTACAAAATAGGAATCCTGGAGACTATTGTTATGAGGTTCCCATTGCACTAAAATTTCTCCAGCTTCGATGGCAGTTGAATTAAGATTTATAACAGGAAGTGGTCCTGAAAAAATAAATAAATAAATAAATAAATCGATTAAATATTAATTTAAACTTGTCAAATGTGAATATAGTGCTGTCAATTCATGCTGGTTACTTACAATCATTACCTAAATTCTGTCATATTTTAAATTCTTTCTTAGCTAGTGAGAGTAATTTCAAAACAATTTTTCAATTAGTCATTTTTTTCTGGTGATCTTTAGCTCAGTAAACCAGCAAATCCAAAATATAACACAGAAGTTATATGATATATGACACAGAAGTCAGTTAAGCCAAGCTTAGAATCTAAGCAAAGAATTTTTTTTTTCAGGAGTTTCCAAAGCCCATTTTCCCACCTTTCATGAAAGAAAAAGATGATTATGAGAAATTACGGAATGATTTTGTGCTTGATAAAATATGGTGTACTAGGTTCTGAACCTACAGGCTCAGGATATAATTTAATATAATTTATGCGTTACTAACAAACAGTACACTGCTAAAATTCAGTTAAAAGCATGCTTTTTTGGTACTTTTACTAATTGCACTTAATTTTGTTCACATGATTGATAAAATATAGTGCTCTAGGTTCTGAAGCTACAGGCTCCGGATATGATTTAATATAATTTATATGTTACTACCATACAGTATACTGCTAAAATTCAGTTAAAAGCATGCTTTTTTTTTGTCTACTTTTACTAATTGTACTTAATTTTGTTCACATGATGGTGAATTCATTATCATTACCAACCATTTAAAGGTTTTTAAATTCTTGCATATTTGAAAAATCTCTACCTTTTCTTGAAAGAATTTTATAAAACAAAAAAGTTAATTTCATTTAGTCCCTTCTAATTTTTGAATTAATTAACCAAAGTAATATTTGTAGTAGTGGGTAACATCTGTGTAGTTGTTTATCAAGTGATCCCTGCTGATGCGAGTACTCCTGAGTTTCTGTTGAAGTTTTGGTGAGTGATTTAGGAGCTTGTTAAGCATTCACGAAACAGCCCACGTACAGTTTTTAGTTTTGTAGAGGATGCACTTTCCTCTTTGTTGCACTCTGATTTTCTGTTGAAGGAGGCTCGAGGCCTATTCCCAGGCGATAATCAGGACCTAGGCAACAAACATAGTCTCTAGTTTATAGTAAAAATAAGAAAAGCTACCAAATTTTAAGAAAGGTAACTGAAGCTTGCGGCTTTACTCTTATATGTGCCCTAAAGATCACCAAATGTGGCGATATGTGTTCTGCGCTGACTTTTGGTGCGATTGCGTGTTGTATGGCAACCCTTTTGACATTTAAAACTCTTTTGCTGGAGTGGTTTAATTGCTCGTTGATTCGTGTCATGCGTGTTTTGAAATGGCATATGTTGCAATGAGAGACGTGGTTGCAAGAGGGTCTGGAAGATTATTTTTAGTGGCTGTGCATGATAGAAGTAAGGAAACGCTGATGCAGTATATTAAAGAGTGGATTGAGGCTTGTACAACTATTTTTTCGGATGGCTGGAAATCTTATAAAGATTTAGGAAAAGAAGGTTTTGAACATTTATTTGTGAACCATAGTATGAATTTTGTAGATAGCGAGTCTGGCTGTCATATAAATACCATAGAGAGTATGTGGCGACATGTTAAAGCTACGCTCTGATGTCTGAAGAAACATCAATTATGGTAAGTGCATTTTATTTTATTGTTTTTATTTTGTGGAATGTTATGTTCATTGTTTTTTTACTATGAATTTCTGTTGTTATTGTTGTTTTTTGAATTATTTGTAATTTATTTTAGTTTATTTTGCTCATTTGTGTGCAATGCCTAGATTGTGCAATTCGTAGATGTTTTTTTAAGTTTAAACAGAATGCTGTGTACATTGTATTCTTTGAAATTTATTGTTATGTTAATTTATTAAAGCAAGGTGTGCGTAGTTTGTAGATTCCTTCGCTGGCTAGATTGTGCAATTCATAGATTTTTTAAGTTAAAACATATCGCTGTGTACATGGATTCTTGTCAAATATTTTTGGTTAGAAACTATGTTTTTGCTATCTAAATTTTTTGCTTTTGTTTCGGATTTTAAGCTTAAATTGTGTGTTCAAAACCTGGTTTTTGGAGACATTTTAGGCTTAAAGTTCGAAATGTAGACAAAAAATTTAAATATTAATACGACACCGTGGAGATTCTTGCCAAACATTTTGGCGAGAAATTTGTCGCCGCATTTGACGACCTGAGGGCGCATATAAGAGTAGTTCCAAGCTTGCTTATGAAAAAGTTATTTTCAGTGCTTGAAAGCTTGATTTATGACGGTATATAATGCTCCAAAGATGTGTGGTGGTGATAAGGAGTGCACCTTGCGCCCCCGAGCGTGTGCCGAAAAAATACGACAACCCTAGGTAGAAGTGGCTGTTCAAGGAGGAGAAACAAGCATATAAACAAGCATATTATATATAAACAAGTCTTGAAATAAAGATTGAATTTTGTTGTGTAATATGTCTTCTGAAAGTTCTGGATTAATACAGTGAGAACATACAAGCATAATGTAATCTGCACAGCTAGAACTCCGTGGGATCTACAGCAATCACTTCAGATGAAGATGAACAAAAGCTGATACAAAGAAATAGAAGGAAATTAAAAAACATGCAACTTGATCAACAAAATATTCAAAACATTCAAAAGTAGATTGTGCATATTCAATAGATATGTTGTGATGATGTAGATGATGCGACTAGGGTTACTAGTTCCTCTCTACAGAAGGTTCCTTACTTGAACTATTTTTTTTATATCCTTATGGTTCCCATACTTATCCTTTAGTTTGTATTTTTCATTACTGATCAAGGTGACTAAGATTGAAAGTGATAATTAGAGGTGAAATGCATTTAGATATTCACTGATACCAATGTCAAAAGCTAACTACATATTTAATCGCTTATATTCAATGGTTTGGTTTATTAGATTATGGCAAAGCACTCGAGAGCTATCTGCCTTAAGGGAGAGGGATGCCTTCGTGGAGGACTTATTAAGGGAAACTGTCTCGTATACACGTTACACATAGGGAAAACCACGAAAACACGAATGCAGCCAGCCCGTTTGTGGGATTCGAACCTCGGACCGAAACTACCAGTGTTCAGCAACGTTACGGCTCAGCCGCTGGTGGGCCTTATACTCAATGATATACATTCATTTTATATCTAATTTCTTCACATAGTATACAAATTCTATACTATGTGGTGGCTAGGTGACTTCACTTGTGATAAAATGTTTTTAAAAAATGACTAATTCCCTTTATTTTTATTATTAAAATTGCAAAATCTCTTTATTTCATGCTAGAATATTGTCACACTACATGGGAAGATGTGCTAATGAATTTACAACTAAAAGTTCAATAATTACTCGATTTTTTGGAAAAAATACCTGCATTTTAGTAAAATATTACCGACGTTTTTGTGAATTTCTCCACCTTTTATAAATTAAAAATTTCTTCTTTTTTAACTCTAAAAATCACTTATGTAAAAAATCTGGGCTTTTTAAAATCAAAGATGCAACCTTGGGGGTAATTACAAATCTAGCACTGCCCAGACGCTTCAGCAGCACAAACTTAATCATAATTAAAGAACTAAGAGACTAAACTAATAGTTGCAGTGAGATATTAAAGAGCATTTTTAACACATATATATAATACTATCGTTTAAGTAAATGAAATTGACTACTCTGACTTCTTCTAGATTATAAAATCTAAATTTTTTGGTATTACAGAATATGACCAAATTATGTTCAATATTTCAGTATATATGTCATCCAAAAGTTTTAGTGCACAAATAATTAAAATAAGAATGACTAACACAGGATTAAGAGCACACTACAAATAGTAAACTCCTTAGATTTAGTTACTCATATGACATGCACATCTAACCACCCACAGTTGCCTTAACTGGCAGGAATAGTAACTCAAATTTGATTGATACACATCTAGTGAAAAAAAATCAGTACAATAAATTACAAAAGGCATATTAAGTAGTAATACTGCCATTCCTTCCAACAGAAACTTACTTGTAGTAATATTTACTGCAGCAGGCCAGCTTGCAACATTGCCACTGACAGTTTTGACAATGACTTCATATGTTCTTCCGGGCTCTAAATTTTCTTCAAAGTGAGCAAATCTTTTTTCTGTACGTCCAATTGTTTGTCTGACACTATTTCGAATCCCAAGGGCCACCTGATATCTATCAAATTCTGATAATGTCTTTGGAGGAGACCACGTGGCATCAAATGAATGGGATGTTAAAGTACTTTTGTTATAGGTAACATTAGTAGGTGGCAGAGGAACTAGGGAATAGAAAATAACAATAATAAATAAAAAAATAAGTATTTAAATAAAGGTTATAAATAAAATGAATGATTAATAACACTTTATTTATTTAACATAATGAAGTTTATTTTGTAATAGAATATTTTCACATTTCAGAAATGAGGTTAAGAAATAACCAGATGTTTACCTGTTCTATATTGAGCTTCAGTGGGTTCACTGATTTGATTATGGCTAACTGTTTGTACTGATATGTTGTATGCCCTTCCAGGTATTAGACCATAGAAAGCTGCTTGAGCAGGTCCAGGCGGTTCACCTTCTTTCTCAACAAATAACACTGACTGCATAGCATCTTCTGGTGATATACTAACACGATATTGGTCAAAAATTCCTGATGGATATGGTGGTTGCCACAAAACAAGAAGTGTTGTTTCATTTCTGAACCATACAATAAATCGCCCAGGAGTGTTAGGTTCTGTAAAAACATTTAAAATTACACAGTCTGTGATAAGGAAATCAGTTTTGATATATAAAGAAGAAATACATTTTCTACATTTGGAAGAAACTTTGATAAAAAAGAACATTAAAATAATTACAGAATGTTAAAATTTTGCATAATAATTAGCTAGAATTATCAGTTATCGAAATAAAACACATTCTAAAATAAATAATGCATGGCAAGAGATATTTTATATACGTATGCTCATTTAGATATTAATAGGCATTATGCACTTACTTGTGGTGAAATTGGATGAGATGAAAATTGATGATTCTTTATCCTGATAAAATGTTGACAATTGTACTTCGTATGAAGCCCCAGGAGTCAGGTCACGCAAAGTAAATGATAATGAATCTTTTGGTAAATCAAAGGACCTGGGACTGAGGTCATCCTGAGAAGATAATATAGCCAGTTTGTAACCCGAATAGCCACCTGTGAGAGGGGGATCCCACACAAGTTCAACTATTTTTCCTGTCTGGACATCAACAGATAAGTTGCTTGGAGGATCTGGCTCTACAAAAAATACAAAATTCTTATTTAGACAAGCAGGTGCATTAAAGTGACATTTTAGTTATCACTTTGGTTGCAACTTTAAATAAGTAGATAAACCACAGAAAGTTACATAGTAATGTTAACATACTGCGCTCTTGGGAAAAACGTAAAATTTTAAAACTATCAAATTTTAAATGTACAGTAAGTGGAAACAGGTGGAATCTCTCTTATTATATAATACTTTCAACATATTCACAGACATATAAAAACTCAGATAAATATTTCACAATTACGTAAATACATACCGTTATGTAATAATACATTTCAGTCATGTGCTAAGCTAATGGCTAAATTTTACCTGAAATCTTTTCACAGAAAGATGTGCAAAGTTTATGCTAATTAACCATTTTTGTTTCTTTTTTTAAGATTTGGATCTGTAGTATCATTTCTTCTTTTTGTTAGCTCTCACCAGAATGCAAATGAGTTCCACTTATTTAAAGGGAAGTTCTTGAAAGTTTTTGAGATATAGCTTTTGGCAGTGAAGCTGGCAAGTGCACATTTCTCTCGCCCATCTCGTCTACATTATTATTTCAGCGTCAGCCATTTTTGCTAGCCGAAGTTAAATCCTAAAATTAGAATTTGAGCCGACGCTTAGTTAGGCCTTTTATACTGTACTAGTTTCCTGTTACGAATCCATTTATATTTGTGAATTTAATTTTCTTTTATCTAATACTCGCAAATAGCGGAGTTTTAATTTGTATATACAAGTTATGCATTTTAAGTTCAAACTTTTAATAACAAAGGATGTTTAAGACCTTAAGACCTTGCACCAATTTAATAGACAAAGCGGTAACCCGCTTGCCTAGGGTTTAAAGACACTTAAGTTAACTAACACAGAGGAGAAGCCTACTCATAAATATTAAAACAATATTGGAAATTTAAGATGAATTAGATGCCGAAAAAAAGTGACAAATATTTTTATTTTTTACAACTCTTACAGCTTAAAGTTCTAATTCTATTCATCGCTTAAGATTTCGCTCCACTTTTTAAAATCTTACCTGAATTACTTGATTAAGTGTTTTGTTCCATCGCCATTTTACGCTTGTTAAAACTTCTTTACGCAAATTATTTCGCACTCTTTAGTTATTATCATTATTACTTCAGAGGAAGGGATATTTAATAAATATTTTTAAGATAATAGCAGCAGTTTAGATTACAAGATAGATTTCTTTCAAAAACATTTGGATCAAGTTTTTGAAAGAAACAGCATCTTTCTTCCATTGCATTAATACTCTGCAATCTGGCTGAATACGGCATTTGTTTGTTAACGAAATAGATTTCACTTCCATTCCACAATTATAAAAACGTTTCAGAACCACTAAGTCGGAATTTTTCTTTTTTAAACAGCATTTTTACATTAGAAAGATATATATATTCATTAATATCTTGTTAAGGTTTTCTCTTGATTTAAAAACATTACAAATTTGCTAATAATTTTTTCTGTTGCTTCTTCATTACGAATAAAAATGAGACACATGCCATCTCCTGAGTCCTCTACCCTCAAATAAATGCTTATGCTGTTATCTTTTGTTTCATTAGTATACCTTCAAATGCCTTTGCATCTACTAAAGGCTCAAGAACAACATTTTATTCTGAAATCTCTAGCATGGAAAGCGGAAATTTGAGCATAGCGTGATGATAGTCACATTGAAATATAAGTTATATTTTATAGTATAATCCTTTAAATAAAATGATTAGTAAAACGCAGTTGTTTGTTTAGCATAAAATAAAATATTGCAAGGGACATACAGTTAATTACGTGAATACAGTCCCTAGCCCTTTGTTGCGCCGCAAAAATTCTTTTGGCATATATTTTAGTTAATCACCCTCTATTTAGCTTGACCAGTATTAAAAGTTCGAACGACCCAGTTTAATCGACGGTAAGGGGGAGGGAACCAGGACTTAATTTCTAAAATTAGAAGTGCCGGAGCCCTATGGAAGACCGTCAGCAAATAGCTACAAGAGTAAATAAATAAATAAAACGACTATTAAATTCATTAATTATTTTAAAATTCAACAGTCAATTATTATAAATTAATAACTATTTAATTAATGTTTAATTATTTTATTTAATCAATAATTATACATAATTATTAATATTTAATTGAAATTATTAGATATTAATTAATTATTATTTAGAAAGATAAATATAAATAAATATAATTAAAGATTAAATCATTATATTGAAAATTAATTAACTGTAAGAGATAATTAAAATTTAATAAGCGATTTTTAATTTAATTTTATTGCTAACAATAAAATTTCTACTGAAATTGTTATTCATTACATAAAAAGTGCCGCAGCCTCTTATTTAGGCTCTGGGGCGCTGCGGCTAGAATTATGATTTATTACAAACTAAGAGCACCGGCCCTTTAAGCTCTGATCGTAGGGAAAAAAATTCTTTTATCATCACAAAAATAAATATTAAAGGATAGCTAATGAATTCAGATAAGCTAAAAGCAACAGAATTAGCGCTTTGGGTAAGAGGAGGAACAAATGAGGAGAACTTGGTGAGAGAGAACGTTCTCTTTACCGCGCTCTCCTGCATATAAGTATATCCAAAACGGATGTATGTCAGGGGTAAATAGGCCTCAATCTGACTCCTAAGGATGATTAAAGTCCTGGTTTACACTTTCCCATCCCCCCGTATTTGGTTACTTAGTGATACTGTGGGAAGACGTGTATGGACGGCTTGAGCAGTTTTTCTTAGTATTTCACTCTTATTGTACTCGCTGTCACTTAACGCATATTTAGGAACACAAATTTTCCTTCCTGCGAGGATAACTAACTGTAACCATGGATAACAATACACTAGATACGACAGCATGGCGAAAAATTTACGCGTTCCTAAACAAACTCCCCAAATTTATTGCCATTCAAAAAGGTTTCCGAATGTGAGTAAGGGTACTTTACTTGAACGTCTCATGTTCTCATGAGTTCGTATTCCTAGGAAAATAGAGTATTGCAAGGTCTGCTTATTGTTAAACTAAAAAGTTAAGAATTCTAAATCCCCCCCCTTTAAGCTGCGGTTCAGTTTTATAAAAAGAAGTACCGGAGCTCATCTTAGTTAGGGCTCCGGTGCGCTCCGGCTAGAATTGTAATTTATTTTAAAAATTGAGAAGTACCGGAGCTGCGCTCCGGTGGGCTCCGGCGCAATTTAAGCACTGGAGGGAACTGAGTGGAATCCGAGGGTTTCCTTACCTCGCTATACTACAACTTCTCGAGATGGTTTTCAGCTCGATGGATTGAATGTACCACAAACATTACTATTACATTAATTTTCATAAAATTATTTGCTTTCTCTTACACCAGTCTGCAAGTAGTTATCTGTTATTATCTTCACCATTTAAACTATAGAATATTTACCTGTTGCAATAACAGTGGTCCATGTTAAAACTTCAATCATAGACTGATTGGAATAATAAAGCTGAAATGCATATTCTGTTCCTGGAATGACATCATCAACTATTATTCCCTCCTTGACATCCAGGGGATGAAAAGTTATATTGGGAGGCGGATGCCCGACAGGTGGATGATAGTCGAGACGCAGTTCCCCATCTTTAGATGCAGCAACCTCTGGAGGAAGAGGTAGATCCACTTCGACACAAAAAACCTAAAGCAGAATAAAATACGTAAACATGTGAAAATCAAACTACAAGTAAGATTTGATCTGCAAATGAAGGGATGAAATGTGCTATGGGATTTCAGATGCCCATATTCGCAGTAGGATTACGTCATTCAAAACTGGATGGCTCTAGATACCGTTGTTTTATTACAATGCGAGAAATATACATATATTTATGCAGATTTTTCATTATTTAATTTCTTCAAATATAATGCAGGACTCTAATATTTTGTGGCAATAGTTTGAAAAGTGAACCGAAAGTAATAGTCCTTCGGGACTCAAATACCTTTGGACTTAAAAAAAAAAAAAAAAAAAAGAAAAAGAAAAAGAAGAAGAAGAGAGGGGGAAACCTATTATTTTGGAATTTGGAAGGCAATCCAGCCTAGCCCAAAGACAGAAATAATACAGTACAGCATTTGATTCAACAGTTTTCCCACAACACACAGTATATATATTTTTTTCTTTTTGTAACAATGAGACGAGTTATGAGAATAATGTAGAACTCAACAGGTCTTTCTTGCACCTTCAGGCTAACTGAAGTTTATTTATCGATAAGCGCTTAGGTATTTCGGATTAAAGTTACGGTCGAATTATTCTGACAGTAATTACAATTGACAAGGTCGAACTGATTAGCGTTTTCTTGCAACGCTATTAAATTATTTAAAACAAAATGCACTATAAAACGTATGACCATTTTAAGCTTCTGTATTACCATTCCGGTAGCAAATTAGTTACTGGCGCTCAGTACATGCTCAAAGGCGAAATAAATATTTTATGCTCGATAAACAAGAGTGCTAAAGTTTTTCCAGAAAAGAAATTAAAAAAAAAAATTCATGAGAAAAAATTTTTTGGGGGGATCATACGTCGTAAGTGAGCGATGAAGTAATAAATAATTTCAGCGTCATTTACATTTTTACGGAAGGTTAAATAAATAAATAATAAATAAAAACATTAAAGAACGTTGTTTGTTACGTTTATTAAATGTGAATTAAAGTAAACTCATATCATGATTTTGGACTCCTGCCCGCTGAAGCCTTGGGGATCAACTTGATTTACCGCCCATCCTATTCTCCTAATCCGGCTTCAGCTGATGTCTGCCTTCCTCTAAATCAGAGTTTCTTAAACTTTCCCTCGCGACCCCCAACACTGCAGCAGGGGGTCGCCAAAATTTTTAACAGTTTTGATATTTCTTTAACTTATTATAATAGTTTTACAATTACCAAATATTTTTACCCGATGTATCTGAAAATAGATAAAGATAAGACAATACAAAGAAAGAAAAAAACGAAAACGTTATAATAATTCATTTTACATGCTTTGCACGTGACGCTGTCCTTTCGTCTGTTACTTATTTACACATTGTTCTATCTCTTAAAATTAGAAATTAAAGTTAACGACCTAAAACTGCAATAGTATATTACAGTAGAATTGATAGTTACACTCATGCGTGTGTCGGATTTGCGCAATGCTTATTGGGTTCCACAAAATTTTCGTAAATGGGGTCCTGGGGTCGCGAACAAAATCTCAGTGATAAAAAAGGTTAAGAAGCCCTGCTCAAAATCAAGGCTCCTGAAAGCTGGAAAAATATGAAGAATGCGATGAGTTATCAGAACACACAGGAATAGCGAGATAGCTAATGAAATATGATTTTCTTAATTTCGTAATTTATTAACGAAGTGTTACAAAAATGGATCCATCATGTTAAAAGATACACTGACGTTGGCAGCGATTAAGGCTGAAAATTATGCAATAATTGTTCTTTCAAACGGAAAATAATTAGCCGGGTATTTAAATTATATTTGTGAAATTAAACTAATGTTTCGATTTGTTTACACGTACTTGAAATCGGAATCGTAAGGCCAAAAGACTAGCGACTCGAAGTTGCGAGGTTTCCTACAGCGAATATAGATCCCCGAAAGGCAAAAATCAAACTGTAGCCTAACATTGGTTTATTTGAAAGCTGTCAATTTCGATGCAGTAAGGCAGAATAGGAACCCTGTTCTTGAAGCAAAAAGAGTATTTTACATATACTTAATAAAAAAGCGGTACCTTATACTTTTATTATCACCCTGTCTCAAAATCGGTACAGCTTTTTAGAGCCAACCCAAACTGTATTTTAGCATAATTTTATTTTTCATGAAACCTAATTAGAGACGAGATAGCAGAAGAGCAACTCAAATATATATGTTACTTGACAACAAAACTGATGACACTATGCGGTAGTTGCGAGCAAAGCTCGATTCCGCCCCCCCCCATTTACATTCAGCTTTGATTCACAGTTTTTAAAATAGCGTTAAATGTTCGCATCACTTCTCTTGAGTCTCTAACTCGAAAATGGGACTCCTATGATGGCATAAATTTGAAATTTATTAACGAAGAAGATGTTTGATTCTTGGCCGGAAGCACATTTGCATGAATATTTCATATTTTTTGATGGAATCAAAGCGCAATATTTTCGTATTTATAATTATGAGTGAAAACATTGATAATAATAGCTACATTCATTACCAGAAAATAATTTTGTTCTCTTTCTTGGTGGAAGTCCCTACTTCCCAATTTTGTTGCTTGCAAACATTTCGATGAGCAGCATTATTTCATTCCGTTTTCAGTCCATAGTCTTTGTTCATCAGTAGAGTCTCATTAATTGCAAAGAAAAAATTAGACTTTGAAAATTTTGCATTTATGTAACTGCGAAATATAAAACTGATTAACTAGAAATAAAGACGACTAAAAGTGCTTTGAAGGAGAAAGAATTAAAGGAATTCCAATGTAATACTGACTGTCCAGCTGTCCATTTTTACTAGGAATCTAGTAAACAACCGTATATTAAAATAATTCTGGAATTAAATTTTAAACGAGGGGGGAGGGAAGAAAATTTTAACAATACTGAATAATATGATAGAAAGTACCAGGAGTACAAAACGGATGATATGAAACAGTCTGGTAGAAGATACAAATTAATATGAAAATGAAGGCTCAGGTGTTATGCACACATTTTGTCAGGTGTTATGCACCCCTGGGCTGGTAGCCGCATTCTATATGTAACTCGTGAGGATAAGCATGGCGTCCCTAATATAACATGGCAGTATGAAAATGAAAGAATGAATGGTTGAATTTGATATAAATGATCCTGGACATCAGTTTAATTATGATGAAATAGTGGATCACTCAACAGTGATTTGGAATAAGACGGGTAAAACGACATAATATACTTTAATTATCAGAATGCATAAATGGATATTATACGTAAATCTCACCCAGCTGGATGCAATGTTGCCATTTCCAAGGAACTTTTTGGATGGCTGCAGTAAACCATTCTTTAGGAGTACCACAGACCCATTCGTAGACTGCCTCTTGCAGTTCTTCATTGTTGGTGAATCTTCGACCATGCAAGTTCTTCATCTTAAACGCGCCAGTTCTGGATACATTATCTCACACTATTGTTTTTGCAGACCAGTCACCCTCTAAAGCACTAATTTTATTCATTTTCGGACCTTCATGCACTATCGCGTGTACAGAGTTATTCTCACAATATCCGTTTCCCATTGTATTTCGTCGTAGGCAAATCTTTGATTTGTCAGTATCAGATGGGACACTTGCTGTTCTGCGACTCGTGTATACCTCAAGAGCCACAGTATAGCAGGCTCGTCCCACTGTTCATTCTTCTTATGCTGAAGTTCTAAATTCAATTAAACACATAACATCGCGCAGGAATTTAGTCTCCACGTACTACAGCTAGTTACTTGTAAATTTGTGAGCTACAGTTTTTCTTTCCAAAGAGACTTTTCAGTTCACTTTAAACCACGTGCATCACTTTCCAGTCACCACGTACATATTTGTCCACAGTCCTCTTTACCACACTTCACGTTATGACTCTCTGTTGCTCTTATACTGAGGTTAGGCGAGCCATCTTATGATAGAATGTTGAGCCCACACCATACCATCATCTGAAACAAACACCGCCACGATGTTCAGATGTTTGTCACAGTGGAAAAGCAGTAAGTTCAAGTCATTATCAAACATGTTAAAAGTATCGTCTGTTCAAGATAAGCAAGATATCAGAAAATGAAAACAATTTTTAAGAGAAGGATCCATGCCGTTATCATGATCATACTTGTATTAAAAGAAAAGTGCTTTCGAACAGCTATGGAATGGTTGAAAGGCCAAGAAGTTTTTGATCCTGTTCAAACTCTGGTTAAGAAAAATCCGCTAAATGGCTGTACCTAAAAGAATATCTTCCTTATATCAGCACCAATAAAAAATAAATAAAATGTTTCACTGACAGCTAAAAATATTACTAACTTCTATCTTTTTGAATACAAAATGCTATATGTTATATAAGAGTGTGCTGGAAGAGCTGATATAATCGTATTTTTACATGGAAAGATACTTACACACTGACCACCAGCGAGTAGTTATATCATTTTCGAAATGCAAATCTTATTTAATGTAAAACGCGTTCTGTCATAAGCCATCTCATAATAAATCATCAATAAAGTAACTTTTAAGTGTCTACTTTATATGGAATGAAAGTTATGAATTTTCAGTGATATGTGCTTTCTTCAGCCTGGCGTTTTTTGAATTAATCTGCGATTTCTCTGCTTAAAAAATCCTGATAAAAGCATGTTTCATTTTTCAAACCTCGTTTCGACTGAAATGTGCACATATCCATTAGGGAATTGACGGTCAAAGTCGAGAAAAAAATTAAAATTTTATTTTTTTAAAATTAAATTTTAATTTTTTAATGGCAATTTGACTTCGATCGGATATATGGCAGTATAAAAGGTACTTTTTTATATTTTCTTTAACATTAAATTTTAGTTTTTTAATGCCTATTTAACTGCGACCGTATATATGGCAGTCTAAAAGAAACTTTTTTTTTTTTATTTTCTTTAAATTTTAATTTTTTAATGGCAATTCGACTTCGATCGGATATATGGCAGTCTAATAGGAACTTTTTAGTAAACGTTTAAGAGTGCTAAAAGGAA